AGCTTCCCCACAGTGTGGGTGCCTGAGTGATTGCCTGAGTGCCTCTAAGGTAAGGTTCCCTCATACACTCTCGCGCTTGCGCCAAACAACTTAGATGACGGATCAATCATTAGAATAGGTATCACCACCGATGTATGTATGTATGTATGTATGTATGTATGTATGTATGTATATATGTACATAGTTGAAGACAAAGGAAGAAGAAAAAGAAATAGACTACATGTCGACGCCCATTATTCTACTCTTTCATTCCATTGTCATTCAAGCATGGACGCAGCACCCTCTGGCTCGTCTGCCTGTCTTTCGCATCACATCTTCGCTACCGGACTCTCGCCGTCTTCACTGCGGTGGGTTCGACTCCAAGCTCAATCCCTTCCGCGACTTCCCCCGCAGCCTGGCCAGCGACTGTCGGGTACGGCGTTGCGTGGGAGGTACGTGTTTCTGCACCCACCCAGACCCTTGCGGCAGCCGCTGCGATCGGCCAAAGTCATGGTCACTGCCCCCGGGCGACACCGGGGGGCTGGACTGTGTCAGATCCACCACAATAGGCTCAGATCCCGCGGGTTCAAGGGAGTTGGGTTGAGGCGCCACCGGTAGAATCATGCTATCGGGGACAACACTAATCAGGGATGATTCCTCCGTGTCCTTCCACTTCGGGCTCTTCTGCACGGACCGTTGGCCTGACGGTGGCGTGGAAGACGATCCCACCAAAGATTGAAGATCTAGTGTGGTATCACCCGCAGTAACCCCAGCGCCGTCCGATGGCTGCGACGAGAGTTCCTGCTTGCTTTCCTCTCGAGCCCTGTCGATCTCAAAGAACGGATTCGGGACCATGGAACTGGCCGACGAACTTGAGGACGGTCGGGTCTCGTCGCCCTGCGCTTGCTGGTTGGAAGGTGGAGTATCACTCCTCTCCCGCTTGGCGGGGAAATACCGGTTCATCAGCTGATTGAAGGACAACACACTGAGCGGGCTACTGATCAGCTGGAGATCGTCATTAGACGCATCTGCGGCGTGACCGAGGGTGACACCGTCAGGCTGTGGGGAGTTCAGAGTGTTGGGAAATTTCTTGTTAGAAGGCAGAAGCACGTCGGGTTGACGGTCAGCACCGCCATCGGGGGTTAGTTTGGCGTCGGCGTTGAGGTTGGATGCCGAGTCCGAGGCTCTTTCCGAGCATCCGGTTAGGGGTGGGGACTGGAATCCGTGAAACTGGGGGGACAGAACGGGGCTGGAATCGCCTGCAAGAATCTTCGAGGAGTTTGTTGTCTCCTGGAGAATGGGCTTATTAGGTCCCGAGTCAGCCGGCTTATCTCCCGCATCGGGGTCTGGTCGCTGACCATCTTTGTCGCCATCGTGCGCGGCCGTGGCCTCAATTCGAGCCGGAGTGGTGATCTTCGGCGTGGTGGACTCCTCTGCTGCGTGGGAGCTTGGTCGGGTGAGCGTTTCCATACGCCAGAGGAGTGAAGGAAATTAATGTACTGACATGCTGGGTTTCTCAGCATCCCCAGTTCCTGCAGCGGGCGCAGCTCGGAGAAGCTTGGGTTCAATGAAGTCCGCAAAGGAAAGCTCTCGGAAGCCATCGTCCTCCGCCGCATCATCTTCAAGACCAGGCATTTCGAACCCGGTGTAATACGGTTTATCGGTTTCCACCTCATCCGGGTCAACATCGGCGACTTGTCTTCTGTCACGCTTGGCGAGCCTGATCTTGAGAATGTTGTCCTCGTAAACATCATGTATCTCAGCCACCCGATACTCCGACACGGTAGGCTGCCAGTTTGTGGCTTTAGACAGGTCCAATTGCTTGAAAGCAATTATAGAAGCCCGCTGTAGGTGATCCTCAGAGAGATCTGGAACGGTGAGGTGATTAGTGGGCAGTACAGGCAGATCCTCAGCTGACTCCTCAGCCTCATATTCTGCTTGGTGCTCCCCGCTGAGCTGCTCCGTGTCATCATAATTGAGCCGGTCATCTCCGTCAAAGTAACTATCCTCCCAATTTCCATATTCTTCCTCTCCCGCGTCGTAGACTTGAAGCTGCTGGCGCCGCTTCCTCTTTTTGCCCCAGCCTTTGCGTTGCCTGATGATATTGCTGGCATCGTGATCCCAGCGCTGCTCAAATGGGAAAGGTGGCGCCGTCAGCTCAATATCGTCGTGGATACATTCGGTAGCTCTGATGGTCAACTTTTCCTCCCAGTTGTGTTCCACGTCACTTTCATGCCCAATCTCTGCGTCTTGGCCTTTGGACTTGCGAGGTGGAATATGGGTGATGTTTGCAGCAAGCTTCCTCCGCGTCGCATCTTCGTCTTCCTTGTTGCGCGGAGCTCTCACTCCAAGAGAGCCAAACAGCATTCGCCGAGAGCTGGCAACATCCAAAGTACGCCTCTTAGATGAATCACTGTCTGTGTTACCATCCACAGAGATGTCCCTTGCAGAACGTGTCTTCCGCTTGTTCTCATCATGGGGCGGCACGCTCTCCTTCTCTGGGGTGACTGAAACGTCGACGCCGCCAGCAGCCAAATCCTGGAGTAGTTTCTGCCGCTTTGCTTCAAATTCTGCGCGTTCTTGCTCCTTCTTGTCGCCTCGGGTTTTAGAGTTGAGTTCAGCTTTGGCTCCAGATTTGGTTTCGGGTTTGGGCTCAGGCTTGGTTTCGGGGATATAGTACTCGCATCCATGCACATCCTCCCATTCCCGCAAGGCCGCGAAATCAGCTTGCGCAGGTAAAGCACCAAGTTCCTTGAGCTTTGCCAATCGGCGACGCATCTTGTTACGTTGATTACTCTTTTTGGTCCGCAACGATCCTGCTCCTGGCGGAGCATTTTTGATGGGGGCTTCGACGCTAGTGTCTGAGTCGGAAACATCCTCATCCTCCGATTCCGATGCGCTTGAATCATCAGACTCCGAAGTGGACTCATCATCTGAATCATCAGAGTCATTTGACTCATCTGAGTCGTCTGAGTCCGATAGCGAATGACCTGACTCCGAAGACGAGTCTTCATCCGAGCTGGAGTCACTCACACCACTAGAGTCGGATGCGAGTGAGCTGCTGTCGCTGTCATCTGAGACAGAGCCAGCCGAACTCACGGAGGGTGACTTCGCCTTGCTCACAGGTGTGCTTTCAGGCTTCAAGGCTTGCGATGCCGGCTTCTCATCCTCAAATTGGACCACCTTAGCATCCGTCCGTGAGTCAGCTGGGGTTGAGGTACTTTGAATAAACTTTGGTGCATCTCTCTTTGGTGTTATCGAGGGCGTCCTAGGCCCGGAGCGGAGAGCACGGGGCGCAGACTCAGTCTGTTGCTTGACTTGGTCTTCAGGTTTGGAGATGGGAGGGGCTTCCAAATCCTCCGCGAGAGCCTTCAACTCCTCCTCAAGTTCGCCCTCTCGGGTATCAGACATGTCAGAATCACTCTCTGATTCCTGGTCCACGGGGTGGCGGATTACTGTTCCGTCACCGTCATCCTCAGGCTCATGATAATCCTGGAAGTCATCCTGAAACGTAGTTCCATGCCCTTCCGCCTTTTTCCCTTCGGAATTACCACTGTTCCCGAGTGCATTAACTTCCACTTTGGAAAGAAGCCGCTTGGGTGGTTCCCAATCCGCATCATCATCGTAGCGTACCCCGTAATCCCATCCTGCGATGGTAGTCCGTCGTTTTTTCCTAGGTGGAATCGTGATTGCAGGCCTAGATGAAGTAGGTCTTTTCAGGAAAGGCTTTCCGAAGGGAACGCCATCGATGAGGTGTTTGCCATCTCCGGAGATCTGATGGCGACCGGAAAGCCGCCTGGCCCGAAGATCTTCGATTTGTAGAGCACGGATTCTATCATGTGAGGACGCTTCGGTTAGTGGCTCCATAACTGAAATCATGAGAGGGTCAACATGGATGGGATGGCACATACAGGACCTCATCGCCGTCGCGCAATAGGCCGACCACCTCCATAAAATGTAGGCACTCCGAGCCACCCACTTCAACCACATAATCTTCAAGACCCCACTGTCCACTGCACTCTTCGTCAAGCTGGGCCGATTCTGTCTCCAACGGAATCACCTCGTTCACATCTTCCAGTAGTTGTGCGAATGTGTATCCACCACTCGAGTAGAGCGCATTAGGTAAACGCGTCGAAGTAATTGCAGATGCGGCAGCGGGAATCATGGGCGAGCCACTCGACGCACTGGGACCGAATTGAGAGTGAGGAGACGTCGTCCAAAGAATGCGCGTCACGGGCAAGCCGTGACGCTGGATTGCTAAGTGGAGACGCATAATGGAATGTTAGAAAATTCCGCTGCTACTTCCAAAGTAATGCGATCAAGGGCAGCTCATTAGTGTAAAACTTCGATGAGGCGGTTGAGTTGATTTAGATTCGATATGATTGCCGCAGCGCGTTGGGTCGGCTGAGCAGTTTTGGGTCAGGAGCTCAATCGCTATTAACACTTTCGAGATAAAGCGCGAATCTCCTATCTATTCGGATATCAAGGACACTCAGAGAACGATATGCGCAGGAGAAAAGGACATATTATTGACAAGAGAAAACAGTCATGATGAAATGTTGAGAGTGCAGCGCGGAAACCGACGAAAAGCACGGAGAAGGAAAGCCCGAACGACGACCGATGCAGTGCCAAAGCTCCTGTTTCCCGCTAAGCCCCTTTGGTCTGCGTAGGCGGGCCACCCACGGTTCGCACCACCAAACAGTACCAACACTGGCCTTGCAAATTTGTAATTTTGAGTCCCTTGTACAGAATCCACATCTATGCTTGTAAAGAACAGGGGGTATTTCCATTATATAGCTTCCAATGTATAGCAGGTAGTATATGTTTGCTGCACGTTCAGAGAACTGGCACCAAAGAAGCTGCAAACAGAATGTAATCGCTAAGTATTAAAGATACGTAGTGGACTGAATTCGTCCTGCCGAGCTCGAAAGTTATCTCCGAAGAGCCAAGAATGACTCCGGGGTCGATTGAAGAGACATGATAACATGATACTCTTGTTGGGAGCATAGCCACACTGGACCTCAGACATCCCGATTTGGACTACGAGGAACTGGCTTCCGATTAGGTACTCCCAGGTTCATGGTGCGGTGCTCTGGTCGGAGTGGTCTGTGATCGGCCTGGCTGCTAGATGTCTGAGGTTGACTGTCCGCTGTAGCCTGGTATTGCGGAGGGCTTTCCTCTGGAGGAATAGCCTTGTGTATTTTGAGTACGCTTTGTTGGCGGGAAACAAAAGAGACGGGTGATCCGGACCGGGACTCTGGAGGGGTTGAAGGCAGCATATCGAGGGTTTCCGCAGAGGAATTGGCCCCCTCATTGCCGTACAGTGTCGATGCCTCAGGTGCCTTTCCAACTGGAGATCTTGCATCAGCGCCAGATTCAAACAATCTTTCGGAGGAGGCGCTTGATGGGTTATACTCTCTACGAGGGCCATCAATTGGGCTGAGAGTATCAGCCATCGCGTCTTCGTAGCTTGGAGGAGCATCGTCGTAGCCATCTTCTGGGTTGCTAGGCGCGGGTGGCCGGGCGGGCCGAGGAGGCATCGGTGGAGGCAGACCATCACCTGCAGGTCGGGTTGAGGTGGACACAGTCGGCTTAACATTCCCATTCGCAGCTATAGCTTCCAAGAGTGCTTGTGGAGGTGCAATGCCAGAGAAGACCTTGACGGGCATGCGCAACGGAAGTACGATAAGCTGAGGCTACTAGCAGTGAGCAGTCATTTCGAAGAATGAAGGGCCGAGGAAGACAACATACTTTCATGTTTCCCACTGATCCATGTGTGAGACCTATACGAACTTCAAGTTCGTAGGTTCTGGAGACATTGCATGTTTCAAATGATGGAGCTACAGTGCTGGGGAGCGGTATGCGGTTCCACATGTTAGCATCCAAGGTCCATTCGGTCTCAGCAGGATCTCCCCCTCTTCCTAGAGGCATGGCCATATTGCTGCAGCTCAACATGACCCAGGTGCCACTCTCTGTCCGCTTGAGGTCATGGGCGAGGATGTGTGTATATGAAATCAGTTCAACTTGTAACATCTGCAAGAAGATGGTCTCGTACGACTCGGACAATTTCTTGACAATGATTCGCATCGGTATAGGTTCATTACAGGTGAGTATCGAAGGGTTGGGTAATCTCAAATCTGCGGACACGCGAGGGCCGTTACTGGCGCTTTCTCGGAGGGAGCTGCTTGAGATCTTCTGAAAAAGACCTTTTTTCTTGGAGACGGGAGGGAGATCCGAAAATTGATGTTGGCGTCTGGCGTAAGTCTCTTCGCTTGGATTCCCTGTTCGCGGGGGCTCGATTGGTAGGAAATTCAAGTTGGTGATCTTACAGCGGCTGTCAGTCCCATGCAATTGAGATAAGAGGAGGTCACAGCAGACAAGCGAGAGAACATACCCCCCTGATATTCTCCTTGTAGAATTGTGGACGGATGACCGTGGCTTTCACATAGTACTTGATATCGGCCATTCCGGGAAACCCGCTGAGAGATGGTGGAAGCGTTTTCTTCACATGGCGATGAGTATCCTTCGCCACCTCCACCTTGAGGCCGGTGATGTTGAGGTTGGTGAGCATGCTATTTTGGAAATTGCAAGCATTGTTGAACGGGAACTAGGATCTGAAATCAGTCTACGTCGAACATGGTAAAGAAAACAATTACGCGATTACCTTGAACTTGAACGGGTACTCGTAGGTTCCTTTGGCGAATGTGTAGACCCTTTCGGGGGTCTTCGAGTTAAAAACTTCCGGAGTGGGAAAGACGGTAGCAACCTTATACAGGAGCTGCAAGGGTTTTTAGTAACAGATTGAATAGGGAGGGGCATTCCGCCGAGTCCTTGCCAGTGAGTGATTTACAAGGTGGGGGCTGGGAGACTGTGGACTAACGCACCTTGTGAACCTCGATCTCCGTCCGCTTTTTGTCCGACTGCTCATGATGCGGATATCGCGGGCCTGCAAGACGCGTACGACTCTCGCCCTCAAGCTTCACTTGTATCCCTCCTACAGCAGCTTCGGAGGGTAGAGTGAGCACCACTTTCCCAACGAGAACGTCGAGGTTAGTGAAGTGCTTGTGAGGCCGGTCCAGGTGGATTGTTACGGACATGGCGAACCGTGCGTAAGCCGTAAATGTACGGATGAGGAGGACGACCGGCACCTGAGACGCAACAATCACTCTTCAAGACCTGATTTATGATTGACGCAAAGTATAGAGAAGGAGGAGCAATACCAGTTCAACTGGCTGCATATACGTCTGGGTAAATCCAAATTTCGCAGGCGAAAAGATAGTAATGGACAAAGGGAGGAGGGGAATGGGGAAGAAAAAGAAGCACGGGAGTTCGGCAGAACTACAGTACAGGGAGGGAATGACGTTAAGCCCAGGGGAAGCAGAACTGCTCCCGTGGGGTCGACGAGGAATTGTTCTCACAGGGCTGGCTGGCTGCCCGAGTCTGGATGCGCCGAGCCGAGTGCTGTCGACTCAGCCACTCCGCCCAGTCCGACTGCTTGCACCGCCACCTTTGTTAGTCTTTCTGCCAATCGAACACGAGTCTACAAGCTGTCAGACGGCACTGCACGTCATAATAAGTAGTTAGGCAGTTATTGAATATGTGTAGAATCTAAGTAGTGGCTTCAATGGGTATCGCCGGGAATAAGCTGCTGTCAAACCACAGAATGAAAAGAACTAGCCCAATGCACTCTAGGCACCAAGATTCCAGATAGAGCTTAGGTACTGCACCGCGCTATCAGAGACCCTCCTTCGCAAGCATGTCTAGAATATCAATATCATTAGTCAGACCGGCCGCAATGGTTCGACAAGGCTAGGTGTGGCGTGACGCCAGGGTCCTTATTCATACCTGCAATATCCAAATAAAACGCAATTGCGTTGAATCTGCGCAGAGCATCAGCCGACGTCCAGCAGCAGAAGATCAAGCAAAGCAAAAGAAGACCACCTTCACATCGCGAACTCGTCCAACATACCTTGACCTGTTGCCCGTAATTTCGCCGGCCAACCATTTCAAACGGTTGGTCCAGTTGATCAGGTCCAGGTGGCTCACCCCTTCTAGGGTGCCCTTGTAACCCCCTTCTCCTCCCCATTTGCTGCTCGCAACGCTGACAAGCCCGTCATTATACCCCTCGACCTGCTGCAAGAGGCGATGCGACAGGCGGAAGACAGACCAGAAGCTTGGCTGCATCGATGCTCCATAGGAGAAATACCTGCAAGAACTCAGTCTCTCGGCACCACTCACAGGACGGACCACCTACCGAACATCCTCCACATCTGGAGTAGTAGGATTGAAGGTGTTTTGCATGTAGTCGCGGGACAGTTGAGCGAATGCCCCTGATTCTATTCCTAGTCTCTCAAGCGCATAGTACAATTGAGCCAAGCGGTCATCTGTGAGTCATGAGTTTCAGCTTCGTCTTCTTTAGGGGCAGTCATCTTGACATACCGCCAATCTGCTTGAGCACATAATCTGCAACTGCCGAACCTGTCAAGCTGGTTAGTAAGATGATTACTTTGCTATGCCATACATACCTCGATGGGGCGTGGCTATAGTAGTCAAAGACTTGACTTTAAACTCCGTTGGTCTAAGATGTGTGATCATATATCGTGAATCAAGGCCTCTTTGTCGTCAGTCAGGATATGACCGTAATGGACACTTGGATGCATTCAAATCGCCTACCCCTTTACAGAAGTGTAAATAAAGAGCTCCGATGACGGTGATTGGATACATTCAGGCTTACCATGCTGTGACTGTCCACTATTAGATACTTGATATCAAGAAACAGAGTCAATTTTGGAAGGTAGAGAACCTACGCGATGATATTCACTTCCTTGCCACGTGCTCCGGCAACGATGTCTTTTGCCAATTCTTCGGCACGCATCTCAATGGACGCCGATGGAGGCACTGTTGCAGTGATTACCTGAACTCCCTTCATCGATAGTGCATCCTCAATCCCACGCCAGTATTGAACACCAGGAAGATAAGGGCCGGCAAGGCGAAGCGTGTCAAACCCAAGAAGTCCATGCGCAAGCACGACAGGGTGCTTCGGGGCATCTGGTGAATATCAGGTCAAATTAAGCACGCTGACAAGCCTGTAAGGATATGCCATGTAACCCACCATATTGATCTCTGATAGCAGCATACTCATCTCTAATTACCTTGCCCAGGTCTTCCAAGCGTGGATCAAGAACATCGGACGCTGTATGCGCGGAGGAACGGAACCCGCGTGAGCTGGAACAGCACCTCGAATTGTCATATTGGAAGACAGTCCTCTTGTGGCGAAGGAATAGACTTCTTACTGTACACGATTGAGCGACAGCAGATCTCATTTTGTTTATGTCCTGCGTGCTCTTCATGCAAATGAAGCTAGGAGGTAAAACGACAGTATACAAACCAGCATCACGGGCGGCCTCGCGCCGAGGAGGAACTTATGACGCAACAGATACCTATTCGGGTCCGTCTGTGCCTGAGGCAGAAGTACGGGCGCGAGCATACTATGTACTGTACCTTAGTATGAATGTTGAATGATCAACATGTACTGGAAATCCCTTGGAGCTGTTTCAATACTCCTTGTAATAACTTCTTGACATTGAGAATGGAATAAATTCTGTCAAAAAACTCCTGCTCTCTCCACCGATGTCGGATGGAAAGCAAAGGATCTCAAATGTAAGGGGTATCACGCATGCATCAAGCGGCCATCCCCACACTGAGGAAGGACATTGACACCCCTTCACTAGCTGCAGACAAACTAGAACAGGCACACTCCGTACATATGGGTGGTTGTATGATCAAACAGCTAAATAATATTCACAGGCTGGAAGCAAAGAACCCAAAATTGATGAACTTTCACGGTGCTGCAGGACACAACAGATCTATGCCTTGACCACAATTTTCTCCGAAGCCTCGGGCTTCACGTCGATGAGTGCATGGATGAGATCCTCCACGACCTTGCTGCCCTTCTCGCTTCCGGCATCCTTGATCTCCTGGAGCTTGACTTCTGCCTCTTTATTCGCATCCTCCTCAGCCTTCTTGTACCCGCTCGAGTGCTAGAACAGACACGAAAGCGTTAGCTCATTTGTTGAACAGTGATCACGAGCTACCCCTGATCGAGGAGCCACTGGAATGCTGTAAATACCTCGGCCTCGAACTTCTTGAACTCGTCCTCCTTCTGCTTGCGGTACTCTTCGATCTCCTTCTGAGCCTCAGCCTTTGCGTCCCTTATCCGCTTGGTACGGTCTGAACAAAATGTATCAATGAGGGAACCGTTAATATTGGTGAGGGGCCGGGACGGTACATTCTCTAGCTGTAAGATGCGACACGTCAGCATACAGTGATGATATACGGTAGTAGTATAGATGGCTTTACCTTGCTGGACAATCTTCTGGGCCTCTCTCTCGGCCTTAGATTTGATGTCAATTGTATGCCTTCGTGGGAGCAGTGTCAGAATAACCTACATCGAGGAGGGTCTGAATGCCCGCGGAGTTCTGAGCGGACTATCGGGGACAGCGTTAGCGCCTTTCCTTCGTAAAACGGACTCGGCTCCTAGCACACACCATCTTTCAAGTAGGGCCTCTGGGTTGTCAGAATATGCTGGAAGGGATGCAACTTGAGTTGAAGGCGATATCTTGATAGGGTGTGGAGCTTGTGATAGTTCGCCGTCCGATCTCCCCGATGCCACGCATGACCCCCGTGGGCGGTCGGGGGTTCTGCCACGAAACACCGCCATCGTCAATTATCGCCGACACGAGACTGGGATCATGATTGACTTAGCCGCTTGGTCGGGACAGTCGCCACTTCTTCTTTTGCGACGTTTCTAAGTATTCAACACATCAATAGCTGACATGTCTCGGGCTTCCAAATTGACATTGGCTGCCACTGGCCTAGGCACAGCCGGCATTGTCTATTTTGTGCACTGGGCACAGGAGCAAGAGAAGGCGGTCCGTTAATGCTTTGACCCTCATTTGCCCAAATGGATACTGACTTCTCAATGACTCGGCCTCTAGTCAATGCACAAAGCGGTTGAACTTGACATGGAAAAGCAGCGCGTCCGACAGGAACGACAAGCTGACTTCGAGATGCAAAAGGCTCTCGAAGAGGAATATCGGAAACTGCAAAAAGTCTCACCAAGCTTAGACGAACCTAGTGGAACGCAAAGAAGTCAGGGGCAAGGACAAGGATCCTGAGGCAACTCTTCGTCTGCTGGTCTGACGGCGTGTGGTGTGAAGGCTCAGGTGTTGGTATGTCTTTGTGCCAGTTACAGAAGAGATCATCTCTAATCAACACCTCAGTCATGACTCCCAACCTCAACAGAATGGCAGTTTTACGGTTCTACAATATACCCATGTACAATAGACAAAGAACATACACTCCGATCTTTACGAAGACATACGCCGATGAGTAGATTTATGGGCACTCTAAATGACAACCTCACGCTACTATGTGACTAGCATGTTGCTAGGTTATGATTCACATAGCATCAATGTTAATGGAGGACGTGGATGGGTGATGAATTCGACTACGTGATGCTATCTGAGCAGAGCTATCAACATGGGCGCGGCGGACGGTGAGCAGAATGGCCAACGAGGCCGTTGAGCCGCAGTCGAATGTGATGTGACCTTATGCAACAGACGTAAGCACGGGTGACTGTGTGGTAATATTCGTGGAAAGACAGTACATTATGTAGATGTATGATATGTCGAAGCACCAACTATAGTCCTTATCAGTCCTTGAAATTGAACCCATTTTTGCGCGGGTTTGCAGTTCTTCCGAGTTGCCCGATAAGTCGACAGATTGGCGGCTGATATAAAGGAGGCCGGCTATCAGCGGAGGCCGGCCCAATTCCGGCCTCATGCAACTACGAAAGGCTAATCTGTTCAAATCCGGCTGATGTGACCAATAGCGGCGAGGACTACATGACTTGAGCCTTGGCAATTGGTGAAGTATAGTCAAGGTCATGATGTAGGTGACTGTGAGTTTGGGACACCACGTCCATCAAACCGGCAAATTTGAGCGAGAATTGTGTAGAATATTGTCAGATATATGCTAGAAGTAGTCAGTGGTAATGTATCAGTTCTCGCGTTGAGTATAGGCAGCTAAGCACATGGGTATACAATGCTGGAAAGGGAATAGCGTGTCCTCGTGATCCCGGCGTGCCCTGATATGCCAAGAGTTAGTATAGAGTCGTCGAGCAGGCGTTCGCAGTGATAGATTGGTCTGGGGAGGGTTCATGGACATAGGAATTCGTGAAAATAGCCATATAATACTTCAGAGATGCCCCGAGCCAGTACTACCTTGTTATCATGATTGAGACTGAAGTCTCCACGCAGTTTCCCTACCTGTTTCGTAATGGCGCTGTCGAGGCCGGAATTGATACCGGCCTCAAAGCATTATAAGAATCGCCTGCAATCCGGCCCAATTTCCAGGCACAAGATTTCTGAGTTCATTATCTAGAGAGCAAGCTTTCCAAGTTAACTTCCTGATCTTCCTTCTTTCCCATTCACCTGATCCCCTGATTCAATTCACCTGGCCTCCTGTTCTCCTTCTTCCTTTTCTCCTTCTTCTAGTTCCTCTTCTTCCTCTTACTCAAGGCCTTAGACTCTCTCGTATCCTCTCACATCTCAGCATCTCATCATACCTCTATTCATTCCCTTATCTAGAGATAACCGCACCATGTCTCCTTCTAGAGTTCCCCTCCCGAACAGTACCTTGGATCGCTTTCCTCATATCCATGATGATCCTTCCACCCTTCCTCGGTCCTTGGACCCCTTCACTATCACTACCTCTACCGGGTTCTTGCCCTTTCTTGTCTCCCCCACCAAGCTGCCTTCTGTCTTCCAACCTTTGATGTCACTGCTCGAGCGTCTCCCTGCCGTTAAGGAGGATGGTACTCCAGGTCTCCTTGCGACATATGAGCTAGGGCCGGCTGTTCTGGCCGAGCTTCCTGACCTCACCGAGGAGATTGACAAGCTGGTCACACCCGACGGTGCACCGGATCTCTATATGATCACCGCTGCATTCCGTGATTACTCTTTCCTCGCCTCGTCGTATCTTCTCGAGCCATGCTGGGAGAACTGGTGTAAGAACCCTGACCAGGGCTATGGACTCGGACGGGATGTCTTGCCCAAGTCTGTGGCTCGTCCAATGTATCATTGTGCCAAGATGTGAGTCTATGCTTATCTATTGAGCTTTGGCCGTTTTAACTAAAATGATGTCAGCCTCGACATTCCTCCTTTCATGTCCTACGCAGCTGCATACTCACTCTTCAACTACACCCTCGCAGACCCCTCTAAAGGCCTGGACTATTCCAACTTGCGTCTTGTCCGCGCTTTTGAGAAGGGTCTAGACCCCAAGAGCTCCGAAGCAGGCTTTATCTTGACCCACGTGGACATGGTGAAAGAATCCAATGGTCTTATTAGTGGAGCACTCAAGGTGGTCGACAATGTCGAGCAGGGTGATCGCTCGGTGGTCAACGATGGATTTAGAGAGATTCTCGCGTCCATGGAGAAGATCGAAGCCTCGATGGAAGGTAAGCGCTTCCCGTTCCCTCCTGTTGCTCAAAGATTCCTCCTTCCTAACAAGCCGCATCTAGACATGTGGGCCAACTCCAAGCCTCAGGACTACCTCTCATTCCGTGTCTTCATCTTCGGAATCACCTCTCAATCCATGTTCCCGAACGGTGTCATCTACGACGGAGTTCTTGACAACCAGCCCCTCTTCTTCCGCGGCGAGAGCGGTGCGAACGACAGCATGGTAAAGTTTTCGTCTCAAGACTACCCCTTCCAGACGCAAACCTAACCATCCACAACAAACAGATCCCTCTCCTCGACCACCTCTGCCAAATCCCCATGCCCTCCACTCCGCTCACCAAGATCCTGCACGAGTTCCGTGCCTACCGCCCTCTACCCCACCGTGAATTCCTCGCCTACATGAATTCCAAATCCGAAGAAGTCGGCACTCGCAACTTTGCCGTCCAGGACACCGAGACCGCCATCCTCTTCCTCAAAACTCTGAACCACGTTCGGAGCTTCCGCTGGAGACACTGGCTGTTTGCCCGAGAGTATATCATCCGTCGCACCCCACACCCTACTGCTACCGGTGGTAGTCCCATCGTCACGGTAAGTTGCTCTCCACAACCCCGAGGGTAAACTTTCGCCTCGTGAGATAGATACTAAACATGCTTCTGGGCCGACACACAGTGGCTTCCCAACCAGTTATCCGGTGTGATGGACCTGATGATCTCGATCTATGATACCTACCTTGCGCCGCAGAAGGAAGGGCCCGGGGCTATCGGGCCGGATGGTCAGACCGGGTATGCTGCTGAGGCATATATGAAGCAGGTCGAGCCGATGATGGAGATGGTGAGGGATCAGAGGGAGAAGTTGGCTAAGGAGGTCGAGAAGTGGTGTAAAGAGAGAGGGGTTTGAAGGGAAGGTGGTAGGACCAGTGGTTATACCCTGGATTCATATTTGGACCGCTTCCAAAGTAAATATTCTCCACGTCGGCTCTGAGCTTAGTACTGGAATTCTTGGCTCAGGATCAGGACGAGAGACAGAATCTCAAATTGAATCTGGAGAGATTGATTTGAACGGCAGATATCACGTTGACCTAGAATTCAGAAGGTAAATGACCTATCGCAATGATATTCCAGGTTTTATGAGTAGCAGGTCTCTTGTCTCGATACTGTATCTCTTCTTACTTATCATGTAGCAGCTGAAAGATGGCTTTAGACTTGGATGATCTCCAGACAGAAAGGGAGAAGCATCCAGTATTTCTTTCGCCCTCCGAACGCATGATCGTCAATGTGCTTTGAGGATTCTTTGCACCGGCATATACTGCGTATAGCGGGGACGTGCCGTGACCTTCATGAAGAGTAGCAGTTAACGTGAGCATTATCCTATGGCTCTTGAGTCGGCGATGCTGCTGATATACCAGCTCAGAAAGCAAACCAAGAAAGCAGACTGTAGATTGGGAGTCTTGCAATATCATTATCGATGGTAGAGTGGGGTGGAAGAACCTCGGCACTCTCGGCCCCTCCGCTCTTTTGCCCCATCGGGAATCCGCTTCATCTCCGCATTTCGTCCCTCAGCGGCGTGGTCCTACTTTCCTCCCAAGAGAAAATTCAAAAGAGGAAGACTGCGTTGCCTTTCCTCGTGTTTGAATTCTTCTTTCATTTCCTGCGCAGAACCCACCTCCAAGGAAGATTCCTCCAAGTAAAACCCCGCGTCTCCGACCAACCTCTCTCGAAATGCCCCCGCATCCCGACCAATTCCACGGCTGGGTCTCGCATTCGCCCACCGAGCCCCTCGCCTTCACGACCTTCACAGCCAAACCATTCGACCCCACCGACCTCGAGATCCAGGTCACCCACTGCGGGATCTGCGGCACCGATGTGCACACTCTCCGTTCCGGCTGGGGCCCGTCCGACTACCCGTGCGTCGTCGGCCACGAGATCGTCGGCCTCATCACGCGCCTGGGTGCCTCAGTGCCGTCCCTGCCCGCCCCATACTCGGCCTTCCAGCTCGGCGACCGCGTGGGCGTAGGCGCCCAGATCTTGGCCTGTCTAGGCGCCGACTGCGACGCCTGCAGCACCGGCCAAGAGAACTACTGCCCGCGGATCACTGGCACCTACAACGACCGCTTCTGGGACGCGGGCTTCCAGCAGAAGACCGCCGTCAAGACCATGGGCGGGTTCGCGCGCACCTGGCGCGGGCCGGCCCAGTTCGTGTTCAAGATCCCCGACGGGCTGTCCTCGGCGCATGCGGCGCCGTTGCTCTGCGCGGGGGCGACCGTCTTCACGCCGCTGCGGAAGTACGGCGCGGGAGCCGGGAAGCGCGTCGGCGTCGTGGGCATCGGCGGCCTGGGCCACCTGGGGCTGCTGTTTGCGAAGGCCATGGGCTGCGAGCGGGTGGTCGCGATCTCGCGGTCCGCGGCCAAGAGGAAGGATGCGGTCGAGGGGCTCGGGGCTGATGGGTTCATCGCGACGGGCGAGGAGGAGGGCTGGGCCAAGAAGTACGAGCGGACGCTGGACCTGATTATCTGTACGGTGGACGGGGACGATATGCCGCTGGCGCGATATCTGAGGCTGCTGCGCGTCGGGGGCACGTTCGTCCAGGTGGGGGCCCCCGAGAAGCCACTGCCTCAGTTGCCGGCCTGGTCGTTTATTCAAAAGGGCATCAAGCTGGCGGGGTCGAATATTGGGTCGCGCGAGGATATCCGGGCGATGCTGGAGTTGGCGGCGCAGAAGAACGTGTTGCCCTGGATTGAGAAACGGCCGATGGAAGAGGTGAATGTCGCGTTGAGAGACATGGATGCGGGAAGAGCGAGGTACAGGTATGTCTTGGAAAATGGAGAGCCGGACAGTAAACTGTAGCAGGTAAAGATAGCCAATAGACCAGGGCTGCTGCCCCATGTGGATAAAAATACGAGCTAAACGAAGGGACCGAGATGTAGGCAGCAAAGAACTGATTTAAGCGAAGGGCGCGTCGTCTCTCCGGGCATCAAGGTTAATCAATACTGACACAAAAGTCATATTAGGAATCTAGTCGCACTTCCGTAGCTGTCAGAACCCATGGGGGTTTGACCGATCCTTCTGAGGTTCCATTTGTGGATTGAAGAAGTAAGAAGTACTACGGAGTACTAGTACTATGTATGCACACCAACTAGATTGGATGACGCCCCACGAGGTAGAAGAGAGGTTCAAATAGTCAAGGCCCTGGCCAAGCGCTCGTGTCAATCGCTAAGTTCTTCGCTAATCAATCGCTCAGTGGGCATTATCCCCCAAGGTCCCTACCATGGGTTGATCGAGCAACGGTCGCCAATGGTCGTCCAAAACCTGCCAAATAGCCTTGAGGACCCGGATGCCCCAATCATCCACAAACCAGATATCCCGAAGCCGATGAAGGATTGCACAGTAATATGCCACAATGACAAGCGCCAGTGGCTGATGTTCCTGTAGCAGTTGTACGAATTCGGCCTTGAGCCTAATCGCCCATCTGCAGGCCTGTCTTACAGAGGTCACACCTTGATGAGCGGCCGCCATCAAGTCTGCCAGGTTCTCAATGGTATGCTCGTAGGTGATGGAGTCATGAGCCGGATCCTGGCTCTTGCAGACATGGTTCACCTCGTGCAGTCGGTCCAAAGCGGACCGCTCAACATCAGGAAGCACATCATCGTAGTCATCCAACTGAAAGAGAGCCCCCCAATCACTACCTCGTATCGTCGACGTAGCCTCGTTCAGAATCTGCTGTACGCCGCGCGTCAATGTGAATACCTGCAGAATGCCATTGATGCACGCCCACGGATCGTCCGTTCCGGGGGCATGGGAGGGATGCAGAAAACCAAAAGTGTAGACCACGACAACGCTGGCAAATGCGAACATGGCTTTGGCATTCGCTGCGTTGATGTCGCTCAACTGCTCGCGGAAGAAGGCTAGAGCCTGATTCTCATGCGCTACGGCAATGCTCACGTAGGCCGCGCGTTTAACTTCATCTCTCGTCCGCGCGAGATGGATCGCCGACAATGCCAACAAGCCGTGCATGAGAAAGGGGTGGGATAAAGCCTCCTCAGGAACACGAGCCTGCCAGATCGCATCTGTTTTCGCGTGCCGGGAAAGTGCCTTGTAGGTTGAATTGCACCAGTACATCATCAACTCTAGGTCGCTTAGGTTCAGACGAGCGACTGATTGAGGCTCGTCGTCGCCGTTCAATTGCCCCAGAATGCGGAGCGAATTGGCGGTCGTGGAAAAGGTGGATTCGGACTCCCGCGGCCCTTCAGAGCCTGACTTATTCGGCCGAGGACGAGGCCGCGACTCGTCGTTGGTCCAGAGTAATGAAGTTGCAGAGTCATACCTGCAAGACGACATGCGTTTCGAGCAATTTGAGCAGACCGGCCGCAGCTCGTCGCATTTCACTCGTCGTTGCTTACATTCGAGGCAGCCGTGCCGGGACTTGCGATGAGGGCGACGGAGTGCCATTTCCTTTGGCCACGCCTGACTCCTGGGGAGATTAGGAATAAGTCATATGGCGAGAGTGACTGAGTGCGTGCAGGCTTGACTAAGGATTGCATCTGTCTCTCATCTGAAGAGTCCAAGTTTCACGCCGTCGGGAAAGTTATTTCTTGTCAAGCCCCGCTGGAGAAGCCATTTTGTACCACATTATGTCATCAACCGCAAGTTTACCAGTTAACAGTCCAATCAATTTCCCAACGAGCTACAATTTCTCTACTACAAGTTCATGGATACCAAAATGAGATGGTGGTGATTTCCCAAATGCGAAGAATCTTGACAATGATCCCGGAATCTCAGACTAGTGTTTTTAAAGAGATAACCTAAGACAACCCCTTTCACCCTCCAACGGGGGCCGACCATCCTCCACAACCCACAAACAACTCATACCCCAGTGGTAGTGCTGTTCTGTCGACGTCGTCTCGCTTTCTCATACAAGGAAAGGACTGTCGCATGGACCATGAGATCGAACTGTTGTCCATAATCCACATAGAGCTGGAGCATGCCACTTTCCTGGCAAGAAGCCACATTGCTCATGAACATCGCCAGAATGTTGCCGCTTTGCTCGTCAACTAACTTATAGTTGCGATTGCTGAGCCTAGTCCAAGTGTGACCCTCGAGGCCGACATGATGTGTCCGTTTCCATAGGAAAGACTGCCTCCGTGGCCCACTACTCGTATGGACCTCCGTTTCCCAGCGATATTTGCTGTGGCTTTTGCTTTGGCCGGCAAGGTCCTCCCATACCATCTCGCTCGGAGCTTGAGGATCTCCTAGGCCAATGTGAATGCTTCGTGAAAAATGTTGGAATTTGGCGACTGCCACGATCGGACCGGAATCGTCCATCCCAGCATGGAAAGTGAGGTCCGGCTTCTTTGGTCGAAACTCGGACACGCGGACCCTGTAGAGCTGTTGATCATCTGCAAGTTTCACGTTGTAATGATGCCGCCATGCTGTGTTGGAGATCTTGTAGCGACGGATGATAGTATCATCATTTGGTAGCTTGGCATCCACCGAGCCAGAGCCAGAGTCGGTGGGCGCATCAGAGTGAAATGAAGGTGCATAAGAAGCCATTATGGTGTAATAGTGGGAAACTCATAGTGCGAAGGGTTACATTTCAAGAGGGCAACCGGAGCATAGGATCTTTATACTTGGTGGTCGTCAGATGCTTTGGGCGTAAGTTTCCACCACGCGCCAATGATGGAAAGCATCCCAGGGTCTCCCAAAGTTGGTCTGACAGGGTGTGTATGCTCAGGGTCCGGGCTGTGCATTTCATATATGCTATTGAGACCGTTGATTGGATCCAGATTCAAAGACTGGGACACAGCCGGATTTCACAGCCTTGGAAGATGGACGATCGTCATGGCCGAATACGAGCCATCCATTTTGGGCATAGCCGATCAAGAATATTTGACACCTGAGGCATGACTATCACATGACGCTCACTTTTGGCCTCACCGCCCTGGCCGGCGCGTCTCGCTCGATCATCTCCAGCTGATGCCGAGCAAGAAACATGCAAATCGGCCATGTTCAGCGTTTCCTTTGGCGCCGTTTTGCTGGTTGCGCCTTGACAATTGTTCCACTCTTTCCTGCGCCCCTTCTCAGCCATTCTCGCTCATCATCCATCATCTTCGCCGGGTTATAATCCCCCATTGGGGCTATTGAATCATAACCTCGTTTCTAACAACTATTTTTCCTGTAAATCCCGCTATCCCACCCGCCCAGTAACCGTTCCCTCCAGAATCTGTCCTCGCAACCCAACAACCACACAATGTCTTGGAATTTCCACCTCCAGTCTAGCCCGCCTTCTACGCCTGGTAAATCCCGCGATCCTTTCAACGATTTATCCAGCACCCCGGCAGGGGCTCCACCGTCCGCATCCAACTCCTTTGCTCCGCATGGCGGGCCCTCCGATTTTGGGAGCTCTCGCATGAGCTCCGGCTCCCTCTTCACAAAGTCGGGCCACATGAATCTCAATGACAATGATAGCATCTTTGGGTCATCCATCATGTCAAATGATTTTCTGCCACCCCTACCTAAGAAAACAACGACAACCGCAACGAAATCCTCTGCAGCGTCGCAGTCCCTGTTCAGCATCACAAATGGCTCTCGCTTTGACGAATCCACACGCTTTGGGCAATCCAATGGCTTTACGGAGTCCCAGATGGATGCAGAGGGAGATGATATTCTGACTGAGACAGAGGACGAGGCAGTGGACAAGACGGGAAGCAGCCTGGGTGTGGGTAAGGCGGGCAAGAACGCTGTGGGCCGCTTCAGCTTCTTGGATTCTCAGCTCGGAGACTCTATCGCTCCGCAGCCTGTCTCACTTGGTCATCGCAAGTCTATCTATTCAAACCCAGGCAGCGCTAAACGCCCGAAGCTCGATGAGCGCTGGGCGGGCCAAGCACCTCTGCGCAAGGGAAAGTTGTCCCCGAAGAAAGACTCTGCAATGCCATCCATAGTTCGCAATCTAGCTCGCTCGCGGCTGACTACAGTGGATGAGTCGAGTGACTTTGTTATGAGCACGGAGGACGAGCTTTGCCGCATGTATGATGAAGTCAGGAAAGCCGACTATAATGGCACGGACTTCCGCGTGGCCCTCTCGGATGTTTGCAGTCGACTAGCAAATGTGTGGAAGACAGCTACAGGACAGAATGGTCCCTACCAAGAGTCAGACGGCATCGGACCGGGTGACCAAGCCTCAAATATCGCCAAGGCAAGTTTTCTGGCTTCACTCCTTCTACAGCTGCATCACCCCCCTCGGCCATTCGATCGACCCGGCCAAGTAAACCCCTTCGCGACGAGCAATCTATTGCTGGGTGGTCCACGCGCAACATCACCGACACCCATCCCCAGACTTCTCATTGACTGGCTCGATGCCAACCACATCCCTCCTGCGTCGGAGTTGCAAGTCTTGAAAGCGTTCGAACCCAATCCTACTGCGTCATCAAGTTTCTGGGATTTGCTCAATGCTGCCGTTCTCCGGGGTAGTCTCTCGACAGCCGTTGAACTTCTGCGATCCGCCGATTTCAACTATGCAAGATCAGCGTTGGAAGATGGCCTACCACAGGCGGGATACCGCGGAACACAGCTGCAGAATATTCAGCGATGCGTGAACAAGGCTCTTCAGATCCTTGAGTCATGTCCTGGTGTCTCCCGCGATGACTGGGATGTCAAGGGTACCGAATGGGCTTTGTTCAGACGACGGGTTTCGGCGGCAGTAACAGACCTGGAGGATTTCGCTGAGGGCGAAGACAAGGCGTCGCCAGAACTCCCTGTTCAAGAAAACCGCTTCCAAGCTGTCAACTTTGGGCTGAAGGCGACTGCCCCCGCGCAGACGATTTCCTTCACCCAATCCGCCCGTATGGCTGAAAGCAAAGTGCCCTGGGCAATTTATCAAAACCTTCGATCCATGTATCGTATGCTGCTGGGTGACGAAGATGCCATCATGGAGAACTCACAAGACTGGCTTGAGGCCACCATCTGCATGACCGTGTGGTGGGCTGGTGACGATGATGACGAGGTCCCTAGTGACCTTCCGCCCACCAGCCTCAACCCCCTATTCTCTCGCCCAGCAAGGAATACGTCTCCCACCAGTGCGCAAGATGCCTATTTGCGGCGACTTGATCTAGCTTTTGGTCATGCCACAAGCGCGGAGGGTGATGATGCTAGTTTCCGCGTCAATTCACTCAGCAGTCTCGAAGTTGGGTTGGCCTCTGTCTTTGAAGGTAATGTCGAAGGCGTGATTGAGCTGCTTCAGACATGGTCACTGTGTGTGTCATGTGCCGTAGTCGAGGTCGCGTCGATTGGGGGCTGGCTGAATCCCAGAGCCACCAAATCGAAATCTATGCCTGGCTTGAGCGAAGACGATCTGATGGTTTTGTCGTATGGTCAAGGCCAAGGCACTGAAGCAACCGGCCCTCGTGTGAACAAGAACGATGTAATCAGTGCCTATGCATCTGGCCTTTTTGAACGACAATCGATTGAATGCCAAGACGGCACTCGCAACGGATGGGAGGTAGCTCTCGAGGTCCTAAGTCGCCTGGACGACAGGGGGAAGTTGCAAAAGAGTGTTTCGGAACTGCTGGATAGATTGCCGCTCAACACGGCTGAGGAAGTTGACAAGGTGGTTATGCTTTGTTCTGAGCTTGATCTTGACAATGAAGGGCGGAAGGTTTCAGAGGTCAGTTCTTCTTTTGTGTCCGTTTCATCAACTGGCTGCTAATTTGACCAGCGTTTTGGTGATTCTACCGTTGCTGATTCAGAGGACTATGGTCTTGCTCTCCTGTGCTATGCGCGCGCACATAACCGCCGTAAGGTCAAGTCCGTGGTTGACCTGCTCATTTCGTACAGTCTTGTGCAGTCTCGCGCTTATCCCGCGTCGGATGACCTTGACGAGCAGCTTGAGTCTCTGATCCGAGACCCTGGTCGTTGTCTTGCCGCCATTGCAGGATCCGACGAAGATGCAGCCAGTATCTTGCAATACTACTTCTCTGGATACGCCACGTTACGCCGGTACTACGAAATCCGGGACGAGGCCGTGAACCTCAAAGAAGGTCAACAACCTCGATACAAGCCTCTTGCTAGACGACGTGCGGCAGCCCAGGCCCTTGTGGCAGTCATCGGCAGCGCCGCAGACAGTATCTATGGTGGCCTGTACGACCCAGACCGTGACTCCGCCGTTCAAGTCGATGGCCTCTTGACACTATTGGGCGAAGTCCTCCCGTTTGTTGACCGTAAGTTCTTTCCATCCTCCAACCGTGTTCCTATAGACTTCGTTTAGACTCTGACCGGCTTCAGAACCAACCCCCATCCTCTCCGTCTCCCAGCAATTTACCATTCTCTCCGCGATCGAGGACCTCCAGACTGTCACTCCTCGCGTTTACGCCCAGTGCGAAGAATGTTTCCGCTCCACCTTGATTGAATATCAATCCTCTAAGAACGCAAATGCGTCCTCATCAACCGACTCCTACATCCTGCCTCCATCCCCGCGCGCCATGCTCAAAAAGTCCGTTTCCGCTCTCAATGCTTCTAGCACCTTCTCCTTCATTGGTAGCGAGATGGTCGGATCAGCACGCACGCTCTCCGGCTCCGGCTCAGCCGGTAGCTCGGGTGTGCTTGTGCCCCGGTTGAACGCAGAGAAAGGTACTGCCTCTCACGAACGAGGCTGGGATTGGCGTGCTGGCCTACCGGAGGACGTCACGGGTGAGGACATCATGCGGACTCTGCGGCTGGGATTGGCCCGAGGCGTAAGTTTCGGTGGACTCGGGTCGATTTAGTTATTTGATCAGTCGGAGCCCAAAGGAAAAGAGAGGCATTGATCAGGTGGACAGCTCGGAAAGAAATGTATTTGTATATGTTGTTTATGCCTGGTCTGACTTGATCTTATTTAACGATAGGGGCAGTCCCTTTGTCGCTTGCTTTATTTGTCTCCGTGGGGAATCAGAGCAACAAGGGGGAATGCCATGGGGGCAATATTAGAGAGAACCAGGACAGTCCCTTACTCTTGGTCTTTGTAACGTGTGTGCATAATGGAGCCCGGTGTCAGGAGTTTCAACCAGGATCTGTTTACATCCAATCCACTATCAAGTGTTTGTTCATGAATACGTCGTCACGCATACGCACCCCACGGTCTCCAGACTTCTTACGGTAGATGAGCTCGTAGACGAGAGCAAACTAGTTGTGACAAATACAATCACCATGCTCCATATGAACCTCGCCAGGACATCATCAATACTTGGTAAGAACGTCAATCGGGAGTTGAATTCCCCCAACTCCCCCAGCAAATCCACCACCAGCCCACCAGCCCACAAGCCCTCACCCCGCACTCCACAACAATCCCCACGACCCTCGCCTTCAACGTCCAGACACCTTTCTCCGGCCGTTGCAGGATTTTCTCACGGACGAATTCCATGTCCTCGGGGTTCGTATCGCAGAGCTCGAGGTCGAACCGCCTCACGATTGATGCAATGGTCATGTACAGTTCTGCGTAGGCTATACTGTTTGTGAACCGGCCAATGAAGTTTCTGGAAAACTTGCTAGCCCTGTGTGCGAAGAACTGATACTGGGCACTGGCTGCTAGGCTTGACTTCCAAGGAGGAGGACAAGCTTTTCAACGAAGGGAGGGTATGTATGGAAATCAGAAAGGTGATGGTGTTCCACTCACTTCATCCCGATACAGATCCTGCTGCCCCTTGCGAAGGGAACGAGGTACCGGGTGAGACTCTCGCCCCGCTCGGCGGCTTCAAGCCAGCGCTCGGGTCGGGAGGTGTTTGGGTCGGGGAAGATCTGGGGTTTGCGGTGGATGAAGTAGCCGATTGTGCTGATTGGGGTCTTTTTGGGGAGTGATTGCGATGTTAGTTGGGTGGGTTCACTGTGAGTTTAGGTTTGCCGGGTGGTTGCTGTTGAGGGAGGGGGTAAGAACGTGCGGAGAACGACGTACACCGGGTGGAATTGTATATTGTTTGTACTATAAGGACTCGGATGGGGCTACTCGAACTGGTCGCATGGGCGTTGCGCTGAGTCGGAGGGCTTCGTTTATGATGGTTGTCTATGGTGGCATACCCATGAGAACCTTGTACATACCCATGTGACCGAGACGGAGGTGTTTGTGCTCAGGGGGTTACCAGGTAAAGCAATTGCTCCAATTGAGACCATTTGGGTTCGTGGCGTGGTGTAGGCATGACCTGCTTCAGTTCCTCGCGCAGTCTGAGGAACATTCCTCTGTCGCGCAGGAGTTGGTAGACGGCAAAAGTCAACGTTGAAGCGGTGGTTTCCGTCCCGGCGACTAGAAGTATGAAGCTCTCATCACGAAGACGGACCAGGGTGCGGTCCTCGGGGGCAAGAGACGGATCAGTGAGGGCCTGATATATTGAGCCTACGGTACTGATATGACTGTCTTTGTTGAGCAAGGCGTCCTGTGACTGCTGTGCGATCCGCTCTTGCGTCGCATAGACTTGAGCTAGTTTAGGACGAATGAGACGCATCCAACGGCCAGGAAGAGCCTTGATCAGTCGAAGGATGCTTGGGAGAAATCGAAACAAATGGCATGAATTGGTACTTTCGAACATCAGCTTCCAGATGAAGTCACGCTTGGTGAGGTCTGAATCGGATAGGTAGCCCTTGTCTTGACCATACAAGTAATGGGTGATGGTCTCCCCTGTCAGACCAACGAAGGCAGTGTGCAGGGCAACCACCGCTCCGTCAGCATAGAATCTCTCCAGATGCCATGATAGTCGAGTAATCTTCTCTTGGATGACCGTGGAGAGCTCCACTACCGCTTTCTTCGAGAAGAAGGGATTCAACAAGCTTCGTCTCGTGCGGTGAAGATCATGATCGATCGTTGCTATGATTGAGAATGGGGACGCAAAGGAGGAGACAAAGACCGGGTCCTTGTTCCGCTTGCGACTGTTACCGGCGTAGATCTCATCGTACATTGCGGGGTCGTTGATGTGGACTTCTCAAGGGTTTATCCGCACAATGGGACCTAGTTCTCTTCAACAAGGGAGTCTCATGCAAGCAAGGACTTTAAGCCGGTATACCATATCTCCGATGCATCTCTTCGACCTTCCAGAAGAACTTTCCACCTCTGACAACATCATGATAGAACTCATGGAAGCCAGAATCGCTGCTATTGGGGGTCCCGGAATCTTGCTGAGCGGGTGGAAATAGAGACGATGAAGGCTTCTCAGTACGTAGTAACTGATGACTAGAAGAGAAAACACGATGAGGGACATATTAGGTGCCTATATTGTATGTCTGTTGATCAATTGCCGCCGGCTCGCCACATCCGTAAACAAGAGATGCTTGTCTAGTTATAGACAGCAGTAACTATGGCGTCTTCGCATGGCCTATTACGATCTTTGTGTTGTCAAGCGCCAGATTCAGGGTTCAAATTGATAGGCTGAGGCAGAGCATCCAGGATCATGGAAATTTGTGCAGAGTCACACCTGGCCAAGGACAGCTAAACTCAGCGTGTAAATCGGAGAAAACCCTGTCGACTAATGGGCCTAGACTGTGTCTTCGCATACGTAGGATGGTCCATTTCGAGCCCAATGACATTGTCGAACATCAGGGTCACATATTAATTCCCCGGGTCACCCAAGCGGAAGCGTTATGTAAAGACATAGCTCTGCGCTGTCAGATTGAAGGTCCTTCCTTGATGAAACCCCTTTTGGGAGTTGTAGTCTTAGCAGCAGATAAATCTCGAGGTCAACTTTCGTATACTATTGCCGGGTCTTTTGAGTTGTGATCTTTCAGGACCCGAGCTGTTCTGAGCTTCGATACATCACTTCTAGCTAGTTATTCTCTCACGAAGACCATCACAGGCCCAGACCATAATGGGAGATTGAGAAGTGTGTTATTTCCACTTGCCTCTTGGTTTGCAAAAACAGTTTCGCGCCAAAAAAAAACTCGAGGTAAATCGGCGTCGAGCCCTTCAGAGTCAAAGAATCTAGATTGGATCATCTCGTCTTAAGCACTACCCAGTGCTCGTGCTTTCCTTCTATATGTCAATGGCAGTGTGCGTCGAGAATGAACGAGCAATGCCCTGCAGACCCGGGGTATGCTTGCCAATGCAAGATGCGTCTACTGTAGGCAAGACTCAGCTACAGACGAGGGATAATCCTTGCATCTTTGATTACCCCCCGAAGCATGTGAAAATGTATTTTTTTGGGACGGTAAATCGAGGAAGGCATAGCCATGCTCATCTCATGGCCTACCGATGGGCTCACTTCCAGGCGACCGCAAGTGCTCTGAGTTCTATGTTGTGCATCCGACCATTGACAGCGACGCTAGTGATATTCGCACGGTGGGGCCGAGCAGTGTTATCGATTTGCGAGAGTTTGTTGATCTAGGCAGTTATATTTACCGACAACTGCCCCGGTCATCGGAGTGAAAACAAAGGACAGGAAGCGAGATCACTCCACTAGTTGCAGGTAGCACCTCGGCGATAATGTCTTCTTTTGGATTCGACAGTTAAGAACAGGCTCGATATGCAATGGAAGGCAAGATATGCGGTAGTCTGCATCCCGGCGATAGACGCAAAAGGCAGTCTAGACCGAGATGACGCCTTCTGTAGATGCGAGCCACGCAATGCAGCCATGATTCCCACGCAATTGAGACCTTTCTTCAAGGCTTGAGTCGATTATAAGACAAGAAAAGTCCAACAAGATTCATTCAGTTGTAGTTATATGAATGGTTCAGTAGAAAGACAGGAAGTAATTGGATGACGTCGCCCGCAGATGACGGAAGCCCCTCAGTGTGCAAACAGGCCAAACACTATCTTTTCCTTTGCTCTCCCCGCGCAGCAAAGCAACTCCCTTGGGGGGTTTCCAACCTCGTGCACTCTTGAGTAGCTTGGAATTTTCTCTTCCTGAGAGACTCGCTAGCTCCAATTTGTCTCCCATACTTCTGCATTGATCCAAGTTTTGATCGTACAATCCCAGCCATGACTCAAGAAGCATCCCCTCCGCTCCCGGAGGGCATTTTCTCGCTGCTTGATACGGATTTGTACAAGTTGACGATGCAATGCGCCATCCTCAAATACTTCCCTGATACTTGTAAGCAGTCTCGGACTAGAGCTTGCTGGGCGCACAGATCTTTTTGACCAGTCGAACCAACGCGCAGATGTCACCTATGGCTTCACGAACCGCACCGCCGACATGAAGCTGACGCGGGGTGCTTACAAATGGCTTCTGGCACAGCTGGACAGTAAGTTGGCAAAAGGGAATCGATCACTTTCAGCCTGACTAACGGCGGATTATCTCTGTTCAGAACTCGGAAACATCCAAGTTACAAGCGAGGAGATCGAATTCCTGAAGAAGAAATGCCCCTACTTCAACGATGCCTACCTGCACTTCCTGACCACATTCAAACTCAAGCCCTCGGAGCAGGTCGAAATTCACTTTACCCCCGGGGAGGGCGACACTGGCAGTGACGAAGATAAGGGTGATGTCGACTATGTTGTCAAGGGTCTCTGGGTGGACACCATCCTCTACGAGATCCCGTTGCTGGCCCTGACCAGCCAAGCGTACTTCATGTTCAGCGATAAGGACTGGGACTACAGCTGCCAGGAGGAGAAGGCGTTCCGCAAGGGCTGCACGTTGTTAGAGCACGGGTGCATCTTCTCCGAGTTCGGATCCCGAAGAAGGCGCGACTATCACACGCAAGACCTGGTCATGAAGGGACTCTCTCGCGCCGCGGAGGAGGGGAAAAAGTGTGGCTGGAAGGGTGCGTTCACGGGCACGAGCAATGTCCATTTCGCCATGAAATATGACGTGACCCCTGTGGGCACAGTCGCTCACGAATGGTATATGACCATCGCTGCCATCACGGACGACTACGAGAACGCCAACGAGATGGCTCTCCGGTATTGGCTTGGTTGCTTCGGGGAAGGAGTACGTGCCCCACCCTCCCCCCCCAACCAGAATTAGCTCTAACCTGGAAAGCAGGTTCTGGGCGTCGCCTTGACCGACACCTTCGGCACCCCGGCTTTCCTCGATGCATTCCGCAAACATATCCCCGCCTACACCAGCGCCGGCGTGGGCGCCGTCAGCACAACTGCCTCCGGGCCCGGCACGACGGTCCAATCCACCATCCAAAGCGAGGCACGGACAACGCCTCCCATCTCTGCTCCCTTACAAGACACCCAGGGCGAGCATCCAACCAAGACCTACGCCCAGGTCTACACCGGTGTGCGCCAGGACTCCGGCGATCCCACCTACTTTGTGAAGATGGTCCGCGAATTCTACGACCGGGAGGGAATCAAGGGACCCAAGACGGTCGTGTTCTCGGACTCCCTGGACATCGAGCACTGTGTTGAATACAAGGTCATTGCCGAGGAAGCCGGCTTCCAGCCCGTTTTCGGCGTGGGCACCTTTTTCACGAGTACGTTTCATCCATCTTACCGCCTGTCTTCCTCATTCAACCCACTTCTTTCAATAAAAAGAAAGGCCATTGAAAAGCTCACATGAACTAATGTGACCCTACTTCGGGGAAACCAAAACAGACGATTTCACCAACAAATCCGACGGGGAGAAATCCAAGCCCCTGAACATCGTCATCAAGATCTCCACTGCCAACGGCCGGCCCGCCGTGAAACTTAGCGACAACATGGGCAAGAATACGGGCGACAAGGCAACTGTGCAGAGCGTCAAGAAGAAGCTCGGGTATATCGAGCATGAGTGGGAGAAAGGTGATGAGAAGAATCGGTGGACGCAGAAGGAATAGTGTCGCTTTCCCGACGCTTTTACCGACTTCCACCTACGCAGCCCTCGCGGCCTACTCCTAACCATTGCTGAATTTTCACCCTAGCGAGCGAGTCTCCCAAGCTATCTACTCACTACCTTAGATTCGCGGGCCTTTTCCAGATTTAGTGCTGGGTTTGAACTTATGACTGTACGAAGTAGAGAATTAGAAAGACGAAGACATACAAGGGGATAAACCTGTTATATGTGCAATTTACTATTCCTATCCTCCAACGCTGATGATAGATGGTTTGGTCTGTACAGGAGGTGTTGGGCCGATCTGCGGCTTTTTACTGTTGCTGATCGCCATGCATCTCGGGGATCAAAACAGCCCATCCTCTTCTCCAGTTAACCCTAGATCCCGGTCTAGATCACCCGTAATGTTCCCAGTGGTGAACCCGGTCGTCGTCATTTCGTGCTGCTGCACGTTGCCACTACTGCTTTCGGGGTCAAAGATCTGGAAGAGGTCACTGCGATCGCGGTCATCGGACGTCAGCTCACGGCCCTGACTTTGGCTTGGGTCAACCCAGCGGAGAAGCTCGTTCGCCCAGTCGATGTCCATGTCGGCGGCGGTGGTGTGGTCGGCTGCTGTCGCTGCCGTAGCAGTCGAGTCACGCCCTTCTTGGGATGGGAAGTCAGCATCATAACTGTCGAGGTCGAGGTCAAGGTCGAAGAAAAAGTCCGTTTGGTCTAGGATGGAGTTGTCGTGCGACTGGACTTGCTGGTCGGGTTGGGGGTTTTGCTGGCGGGGTGAAACAGAAGGATGATCGTGGAAAACATGACGGAAGGGATCATCGAAATCATGTGGTGGGGTTGGTTGAGCTTTGTGTAAGGATGGAGGGTTGGCGTTGAGGGAGGCTGCAGTGGCTGATGATGCTGTGAGATTGCTTTCGCGGCGGGCTCGGGAGGAGCCGCTGGTTCTAGGGTCGGGTTGTTTCAGGTTCGGGGTGGCGGAGTCAGTTGGTTCCTGGTCGTCTCGAGGAGGGGTCCATTGACTGGTATTTTTCCCATCTGCTGAGATCATCGTTCGGGAGGTGGAGGCAGTACTTGGTTTCCGCGCCTGATGTTGGTGCATGGTGTTCGGAGACGAAGGAGTGTCCAGCTGCATGATTTGTAAAAGAGCGTTATTGCAGTCCGATTGAACCTTGACCGCAGCTTCGATGTTAGCTACTTCCATGTCTGCTGCAGGATATATGTCTTTAAGCCCTTGCAAGACTTGGATGCAGCGCTGGAAGTGGTGGATGCTGGATTCTCGTGTTGAGGGATTGCCGGACAACGAGTTCGTCAGATGGGCTACAGCAGCGGGGATGATTACCGTTACCCCGGACTGTGGCAGAAAGCGTGTGAGGCTCAGTTGGTTAAGACCTTGAATGATATGAGTAATACCAATGACAGCGTCCTGCATCTTCGTCTGTGCTGTGTTAATCAGATCAAGACGCGCCTTGGGTTGATCCTTCTTGGGCGAAAATGCCCAGGGTCGGTATAGCGCGCTGGTCGTCGCATGATATAGCATTCGTACCATTGCGCCGTGAAGAAGCAAGACATCTTCTCCATCATGGATATTGGTTCGTGACGCAGGGATGAATTGTGCATCCTTTGGGAGAGCGCTCAACCATGATTCGAGTCGCTGACTGCATCGTGCCAACTCTGATTCTGACGCCTGTCTAGGGACCAGACTGATAGTTGTTCGATTTGTCACACCGAACTGGCACTGCGATGGTGAGTACTGCGCGAACAAGACTCTCCCTATGCTTTGGCACAGCTTGGCCTTTTCTATGAACATGGTAGCTAGGCGCTTTTGATGGGATACGTCCTCGAGCTGACGACAGCGAAACATCTCAATGACTGCAGGATGAAAAGGCTCGAAGTCGAAATCCTCAAGTCTCAACATGGGAACATTGCTTGTCCCCTCATTGACCTGAGTAGGACGCCTCAAACCCATGGCGATGAGACGATCGCGTGAGTATAGACTCCACCATATGCGAGCCCTCAGCCTCTTCATCTTCGGGTCCATATTAGCTGTGGATGCATCCCTGTTCAACCCTATTGAATGGGCTTGCGTATTGCAGACACCAATCCAATCCCAGATGTCTCTGTGCGGGTTGTTCTGATGATCAGACCAATAAGTCATGAGAAGGAGTGTCTGCAAGATAACGATTCGATCGTCTTCGCAGTCCAAGGAGTAAAGCAGCTAGTGCTTCTAGTCAGCCGGCAGAACATAAAAGGAAGCATGTTTGAGAGGGTAAATTGAGCATTGCACATACCCTCAACCGTGTAAAGAATACACTTCGCGCGCTTTTCCGGGTCGCATAACCAGCATCCTGCAGATGTTTGATATCCACGAACGCAGTGGCTACAAACATAACCGCCTGGAATAGCAGCAAGCTGACATTCCCATTGGGGTCATTCTCGGCCACACACCTCAAGAACTCCTGTAGGTTCAGCACCGGCATGAAGCTGTGCACCCACTTGATATAGCAGCGCAGGAGCTCATTTCGCAGACCACTCTCAGGGACTGTCAGGGCTCCACGGAACCGTAGAAATTCCAAGTCCTCTTGGGGGATGCGTGCTGGAAGCGGCTTCAAAAATCGCGGCTCATCATCTAGCAGAGCGATTAGGGGATCGAAATCCGGGTCTATCAGATCTCGGACAGTGGAAACCATGTTCTCCAATGGTAGGGAGGGTCGGTGAGCCCGTTCGCCCAAAGTCCGCCAACTCCGAGACGGTCTGGCATCTTGTAGCCAAGGCGCATGCGGATTGTATCCCAGGCTGTTGCTTCTTTTAGGCGCCGGCGGATTATCATCGTCGGTCTCCGCACTTGGCGGCTTGCGCTTCGCTGCTAGCATATTCTTTGGAATATATCAGCCACAATAAGAATAAGTTCGCCGGGGCAGCTGAGTTCATGCATGTAAAATAGGATCAAGCTTCCCTGACGCTTGTCCTCCGAGGCGAGGATTGTTTTTAGTCGGGGGTGGATAATGATGGGTTAGTTCCAGTCTTCCAGAAGTTGAGTGGAGTTTGGCTTAGATAATCTCTACTTTGATTGCCCCGCGCCGAAGGGAAAAGTTGGGGTCAGCTGTGGGGTACGGAAGACCATTGCAGCCACTCGGCAAATGGAATTTTTTTTTTTAGTATCCTTACCGCAGCAGTGACTGCCTACTAAAATAGTTACTGTAACCAAGTCTCCTCTGCTGTCCCTCCTCCGCCGCCTGTCATGGGTAATCCCCGGAAACATAGTGAACCACCAACAGCTTGCCTACATATTACTGATGGAAAGGTCGTGACGTCGATGACTTGAAGTCCCTCCAGTACTTAACCCCTAAAATCTTGCTATACCTTAGGATAGCAAGAATTAGTCTTAAATACAATTGACTGCTACTATTCTATACTAAACCGACCTATTTTCTCTTAATACCGCCATCCCCTTCAGCCCCTGGGGCCTATATAATTACAGTATTTTCTAGATTAAGTCTTAGTCTTTTTACTATTTTTCTTCCCCTAAGAAAGCTCATTAAATTATATCATAAACTCAGCCCCTTCTTACATTAGAATCTTTAGAATTTTCTAGGATCAAAGGTATTGCTCTTAGGGTTTTCTAATTAGAGACTATTCTTAACTTATTAGGGACTATTGATTATTCCTTATTATTAGGATTATGAGGGTTTATCTTCTTTTACTTATAATTTTACTGGCAGATTTTCCTTTTGCCGAGTGGCCGCAATGGTCTTCCGTAGTGTGGGGGTTGCACTAGGCCATTCTAGGCAGTTTGGTCTGTAGATCATCCGGTACCTCAGTAGTCAGTAGATATGATAGAGTCCCATTATATCATAGGTGTATACAGTACAGTGCAGGATTATGATTATATACAGAAAGTTCTAGTAGCCAATTCGCCTCCGTGACCGCAAATGGTATGTCTTTCTCTCAGCGGGGGACTCCTCTCTCTGCAGCCTTCTCTCCATCTCTATTTCCTTGCTCAGCGTCTTCTCCCTCTCCTTCATCTCCACTTGTTGCTCTTTCAACTGCTTCTTGACGCGCTCGTCGCGCTGAGCCTTCGTTTTCTGAAGCAGTACCTCTACTTTCCTGATGGCCGCTTGCGGATCGTCTTTGTGCTCTATGAGATGTCCCTGGAGCTCAGCAACCGTAAGCTGCCCCGAGGGGATCTGTGCGGCAAAGTCACAGGCCAGCCTGTCGACGTCTCCAGATGTGATCATGGGCACTCGCTCCCCATTTTGGATCTGCATTACATGCCTCAGAATGTAGGGGCGAGTAAAACGTCTTGAAATAAGACTCCATCTCGTCACGTGCCGCGTACTTGAACTCGATGCGCATGTCCACCCGTCCGGGACGGATCAGTGCCGCATCCAACTTTTCGGCGTGGTTGCTCGTCATCATGAGAATGCGACCTTCACTTGCATCTACACCGTCGATGGCATTGAGAAGAACAGAGAGTGAAATGCCGTTCTGAGTAAGGGGGCGTCCAGGCATCATCATGCTCTGGTCGTTCTTGTCGTGCCCAGGTGCCCGTGACTTGGTGATATCCGTACAGTCCACATCCTCCATCATAACGATACATCTCGAGGGCAATTCGGAAAAGAGTGTTCGGAAGCTGTTCTCGTCTAGAGAAGACGAACTGGGGTCTATCACATAGATCGGTAGCTTCAGGTGTCCGGCAATGGCATAACATAGACTGGTCTTGCCAGTTCCAGGCGGGCCATGGAGCAAGTAGCCCCGGCGATACGGAAGCCCTCGCACCTCGTAGACGGCTTTGTTCATGAGGAATCTCGCAATATCAGCCAAGACACCAGCCTTGGTTTCCTGGTCAAGCACCACACTGTCCAGCGGCCTGGGAACACGCCCATCACACGGGTGCCACGCTCCCCCTCGGGCACTCCAAATCTCGACCTTATCCTGGTCTTTGTCAAGCCACGCCTGCTGCGCTTCGGCGAGCAGCTGCTTGAGCATGCCTATGCCCCAGTTACAGAGCGGCAGTCCCCAGCAGGAGATGACGATTCGATCGTTGACATACGTGTCCTCGCTGCTTTTGATGCGCTGGAACTTGATCCAGCGCCAGAAACACCAAGAGTACCAAGGGCTGGCATACAAGAAGTGATGCTCCTCCGTGGAGGGAATGAAGTGCAAGGGCTGGGTCTGGCGTTGCCTGATAACTTTCCTCCACCATTCATCGAAATTGTCTCCTGACTGATACTCAAGCTCATTATTGTCTTTGCTGGGGTCAAGGCTGGTTCTTATATGGACATATCGACCGCCGACCGACAGCATGTTGCTGGCAAGGAGATGCTTGGCTCTAGCCATGGATCTATGATGTATCACCCAGTACATGAGGTATCTGTAGATGCTGTCCTGGCCTTGTACCTCTATTTTGCAAGTGAACGAGTCACTAACATATACCAAGGCAGAGCTTAGTGGCGTCACAAACAATTGCAGGAAATGCCGCCATGCCATGCGGATACTGATGATGATGAGGAAAATGAAAAAATAATGGGACAGGTCAAAATCGAAGCGGGTCAATAGAAAATGAGACAGAAATGTGAATCCGGGCAAAGCGAACTCGAGCATGGCGTCTGGGGCCAGTGGCTCTGTGAGATTTGCTTGCATGATGAGAGAGCAATGCTAGTGGCGGTTGATTTGGGTCAGTCAATCGTCGTAGATAGTGAATATTATGCTCAATGCCATGATCTATGATCTCGGAGGGCACAAGAGGCTTTTATCGGTATTGTTGATAATGCTTGCATGTCGAGGTTGAATGTTCCTTAATGTCCGGAGCAGACAAAAAGCCTTTATTCAATCAATGACCACCCTTTCGGTTTTGTTCACCCCAGACAGACAAGGGAGATTTGATAACAATAATAAGAAAGAGGATGACCGGCTTCTGAAAGGCATTCTCATTTATTGTGCTTCGTATCCACTTATAGATAGGCATCTAGCGAGACCGCCAGGCCGCACGACAATATCTCCCGAAAGATTCTCAAAGATAGATCGGTTGCTTACAGGGACATTTCAGTTCTTGATGCCCCAGGCACCATTAATTGCTTTCCAATGTCACCCGAACCAAATGATGTGAAATATATCTGTCTGTAAACGAGTCGACAACCTGCCACTACTTGATATCCGGCCTCGTATGGTTGTATAGTACTAGAGGCTGTCGAAACATCTCGTGGCTTGGTCGAACTCTAGAACATCAACTATTTTCTGGGTACTACGCACGCAGGGTGTCCAAGACGAGCGAGACGTGACTAGGATCACATGTCTATTCAAACGACGGAGAAGAGAGACTCTCAGTGATCATATGACAAGACTTATCCCATCCACCAGCGCTGCGAGCCGATTTATGCACGAAAAATATAATACACGTATTCATTAACTTCGGATGTCGAGAGCAATAGCATAGAAAGATTCCGCACGTGTCCAGTGATCAATGGTCGACCCGATTCCCGGCCTGTCGGGCGGCCTTCATATTCACGGAGTTGGACGGAGGCATAGGGTATCCATTTACATACTGCTCATCAATCATTAGCAACCTGTGTGATCCTGGCCGGGCCGACGTCCTAAGCGGTTGACAGGAACTCGGTGTATCTCGAACTTACGGAGGGAGGAGGAGCTCGCCGAGGCTGCTGTGGAGGAAAGCGACGCCAGCCTGATAGATGAACAGTTAGTTTTTCGGTCCCTCTTGCAAGATGCTAATGCAGGAATTTGAGATTTGGCACTTACGCCGAAGACAAGAAGGCTTCGAACGATGGTAGCGTTTTCGGCGGCAGTAAGTTCCTCGTAGGCGGTGCTGAGGAAACCCTTCTGGGGGCGACCGGAAACGACGCGCTGTCTAGGGGCCATGATGTGAATGAGATGTGGAGGTGGATGGATTAAAGCTGGAGCTTGACAGGGGGGTTGTTGCAGTGCGTTGTAGAGATGAATGGAGTAAATGGAGTTGCGGTTGAGGGCAACGCGGAATGATGCCGGAGTCCGAGAAATCTTTCCATGCTTGGCAGCTGCGCCTTTAGCTTATCGCGGCACCCGTATCGGCTTGCGAGCTGCGGCGCGATCAGTCAATCAAGCAGCAGCAGTCAGCGATCGCAACTTACTTGAATTGGTCAACAAGGCGATTTCACGTACTGGATATCAGACTGATCAATTTGCATACCGCATATCCACTTGACACGAGTTGGTGGTGACGAGATTTCTCGTGAATTCCACTCGCGCAAGCCGCAGCCATGACGAGCATCGATGAGCTCTTCAAGGTACAGAACCTAATATGATAATATGGCCCTAAATGCTTTCTAACGTCTAAAGAAACCTTCATCCGCAGCGAGTTCAAAGCGCAAGTTTGACGCCTCGAAAGACCCAAGTTCGTTACGAAAACCCCTCTTGTCCGGCGGACGGTGCTGACGTTCAATGCAAGATGGGCTCTATAAAGCGGCTAAGCTGGACGCGGGTGGAGATGTTAAATCAAAAGGGAAGGCAGCGATGGTAGAAGAAGAAGAAGGCGACGCAGAGGACGACTATGCCGGCCCAGAATTACCCCCGGATTTCGAGGCCGAAGATGTTCCCGACGACGAAGAAGGCCGTTTTTTCGGCGGTGGTATGGAGCGCCAGACCGCTCAGGCTATGCAATACATTGACCAGCATGAAGAGGAAGAGGCATCGGTAAGGCAATGGCTCATGGATCTGCATGGGGATGAGTGCTGATGTGGCTTAGCTGGAGAAATTCGACCTCGCCTGGGTGCGACGATTCGCCCTGAATTTCGAGAAGAAGATATCCAAGAATGCCGAGCTTCGCGGTAAATTCGAGAATGATCCCCAAAAGTGGGTTTTGATCTGGGTCACTATTGATATGGAGACAAATCTTGCTAAGCTTCCTAGGTTCATGGCTTCGGAGGCGGACCTCGATACTGAGATCAAGGGCCTATCGATTCTCTCCGAGCACCCCGAACTGTTCGATGAATTCGCAAAGTTGGGCTGCGTTGGCTCACTTGTATCCTTACTCTCCCATGAAAATGCCGATATCGCGATCGATGGCATCCAAATCATTGGGGAACTGACCGACGAAGATGTGGAAGCTGAGCAGGAGCAATGGGACACACTTGTCAACGCTATGGTATATTCATTTGCATACCGAAGCGAGAAAATTGCTAATAGTGGTAGTTGGATGCCGATCTCATTGAACTACTAGCGCAAAATCTGTCTAGGCTAGACGAAGAATCCGAGGTTGACAGAGCAGGAGTATACTACGTGCTAAGTGAGTGCGCCGTCCTTCGATAGCTCGACAAACTACTAAGACCTCCAAAGATGTTCTTGAAAACCTCGCCTCCCAAGCGTCAATCGCCGAGAAGATAGGAAAGGACCCCAATGTTCTGCCTTGGCTCATATCTCGTGTTCAGAAAAAGGAAAGGCCCGTGAGCCAGAACCAACAATATTCGGCTGAGATTCTGGCAATTCTACTTCAGTCTACGGCCAAGAATCGCGACAGGTTCGTGAGCTTGGACGGCGTCGAGGTTCTTCTCCAATTACTCAGCCAATATCGCAAGCGTGATCCGGAGAAAGATTCTGACGAGGAGGAATACGTCGAGAATTTGTTTGACTGTTTGATTTGCGTCGTTGATGAGGAATCTGGCAAGGAAAAATTCTTGCAAAGTGAAGGGATTGAACTCGCTCAGATTATGCTGAAAGAAGGGAAGTTCAGTAAACAGAGAGCTTTACGAGTCTTGGATCATGCTCTAGGCGGTGCAGCCGGTGCAAGTGCATGCGAGAGGTTCATTGAAGCAGCATGTTTGAGTACTGTGTTTGGTATGTTCAAGCGCAAGGTATGTTGGATTCTTCTCGTGAGTGCTCGGGCTGGGTTGACATTCAGCAGCAAGAGAACCAGACGGTCGAACATTTACTGGGCATTTTTGCTTCTCTCCTGCGCCTGCTACCTGGAAGGTCTGCGCCGCGTATCCGTACGCTTGCCAAGTTCATGGAGAAGGATTATGAAAAGATCGAGAAACTCGTTAAGCTACGGCGGGATTATTCCTCGAGAGTATCCCCCGTCGAGCAAGCGATTGAGAAGGAACGGAAAAGCTTCACACCAGAGGAACAGGAGGTCATGGCCAGCGAATGGTTATCCCGGCGGTTTGACGCTGGGCTTTTCTCGCTTCAGGTTCGTAACGCATACTTGACGCCAGTCTCAGTCCCGCCCACATCCTCTGACACTTTTGCAGCTCATTGACGTGATACTGGCTTGGCTTGTGGCCGAAGATGATGGGGCCAAGAGGAAGATTGTTTCCCTTCTCGCAGACCGAGATGAGGATCTGTCTTTGATCAAGGCGACCTTACAAGGTATAGCAATTATATACTTCCTGAAACCTTCACCGTGGGAACAAAGACTGACGATGTGGTCCATTCAGAGCAAGTGCAAGGTCTTTCGGAGGAAGATCCGGGGCAAAAGGATCATAAGGAGATGCTGGAGACGCTTCTACAGTTTGTATGATGGGATACAGAAGGCCAAGTTTGGTATAGCTGCTAGCAAACCATGAGCATTCACCCAAGGTGCATAAGCATAGGAAGCATAGGTTGAGTGATCGAGGGTGAGGTCATTGTGGATGTACTCTGTATTGTAATGTAACACCAAGGTGAATTGAATTCAATGGATAAATACCGATCACGTGACTATGCTTCTTTGTTTCGGATTAGTGTTATCCCTTAATTGGTTTAGTTTAGTAAGCTACCAGCGGCGCCAGCAGCAGCAGGCGGTCGGGAGGGACTAGTGGCGGCTCTCTCTCTGCTCATCAAGCAAGATCCATCATCGCCCGCCCGGAGACTTGAAGCACTTCCCCAGCTGCTTGCTCCCTTCACCAGCATCACCGGTGGCCTGGGTTTTTCAAACCTCATCATCCTTCTTGAGGCTTCCGGCTCTTTGACTGCTTCTGTTCTTGCTCATTTCGAACTCTCACCCCCGGTGTCTACCCTCTGACATTAGCCCTTTGGCGACCGTCGAGTGGGATATTTTCCGCCGAGCGCGTCGCGCCCTTTGCGCCTTCTTGAATCTTTGTCCTTTATTCCGCTAGGTCCGTGACCGATTTTCCCGTCAAGATGGCCGACTACGAAGATGCCTACGAGGATGAGTACTACGATGATATGGACGAGGGGATCACGTCGGAGGATTGCTGGACCGTTATCTCGTCCTTCTTCGACACTAAGGGTCTCGTCTCACAACAGCTAGACTCTTTCGATGAGTTTATCTCGTCAACGATGCAGGAGTTGGTGGAGGAACAAGGCCAAGTGACTCTAGATCAGACGCTTCCCCCCGCCGAAGATGAAATCGACCCGGTTGTTGTCCGCCGATACGAGCTCAAGTTCGGAACTGTCATGCTCTCCCGCCCCTCCGTGACGGAAGGCGATGGTGCGACGACCATCATGTTGCCGCAGGAGGCTCGTCTACGTAACCTTACATATGCCAGTCCTCTATACCTGGGTGTCACCAAGAAGATTATGGAGGGTCGGGAACGTCTGATTGCCGACCGGGATGAGGATGAGATGGGTGACCCAAGCGAGGATCGCAAAGCTCATGGCACCTATCTTTCGTGGGAGCAGAAAGAACTACCCGCTGACCAAGCTAAGGAGGAGACGGTATTCATCGGAAAGGTGCCCATCATGCTCAAGTCTAAGTACTGTATTCTTAAGGACTTGAGCGAACAGGCTCTCTACAACTGGAATGAGTGCCCTTACGACTCGGGCGGTTACTTCATCATTAACGGAAGTGAGAAGGTTTTGATCGCCCAGGAACGCAGTGCTGGCAACACGGTCCAGGTTTTCAAAAAAGCACCACCCAGCCCTACACCTTATGTTGCTGAAATTCGTAGTGCTGTCGAGAAGGGTTCGCGGCTTTTGTCACAATTGTCCCTGAAGCTGTTTGCGAAAGGTGATAGTGCCAAGGGTGGATTTGGTCCCACGATCCGGTCGACATTGCCCTACGTGAAGACCGACATTCCAATTGTGGTTGTTTTCAGAGCTCTCGGAGTGGTCTCTGATGAAGATATTCTGAACCACATTTGTTATGACCGCAACGACACACCTATGCTGGAGATGCTGAAGCCATGTATTGAAGAAGGTTTCGTTATTCAGGATCGCGAGGTCGCGCTTGACTTCATCGCCAAGCGTGGGTCTTCCCAGTCCAGCATGAACCACGAGCGCCGTGTTCGCTATGCCCGTGAGATCATGCAGAAAGAATTCCTCCCGCATATTTCTCAGAGCGAAGGTAGTGAGACGCGGAAAGCCTTCTTCTTGGGTTACATGGTGCACAGACTTCTCCAGTGTGCTCTGGGTCGTCGGGATGTCGACGACCGTGATCATTTCGGTAAGAAGCGCCTGGACTTGGCCGGTCCGCTTCTTGCGAACCTTTTCCGAGTCTTGTTCACCCGCGTTACCCGCGATCTACAGCGATATGTTCAGCGGTGCGTGGAGACGAACAGAGAGATTTACCTGAACATTGGTATCAAGGCTAGCACCTTGTCGGGAGGATTGAAGTATGCTCTTGCTACGGGTAACTGGGGTGAGCAGAAGAAGGCAGCTAGCTCCAAGGCCGGTGTGTCTCAGGTGCTCAGTCGTTACACTTACGCCTCCACATTGTCTCATCTTCGTCGAACCAATACACCCATCGGGCGAGACGGAAAGATCGCCAAGCCTCGTCAGCTTCACAACACTCATTGGGGTCTGGTGTGTCCGGCTGAAACCCCTGAAGGTCAAGCTTGTGGTTTAGTCAAGAACTTGGCTCTCATGTGCTACATCACTGTCGGTACGCCCAGCGAGCCTATCATTGATTTCATGATTCAGCGTAACATGGAAGTCCTCGAGGAGTTCGAACCTCAAGTGACACCGAACGCTACCAAGGTGTTTGTCAATGGTGTCTGGGTTGGTATCCACAGAGATCCCGCTCACCTTGTCAACACGATGCTTTCCCTTCGTCGCCGTAACATGATCTCGCACGAGGTCAGTCTGATTCGAGACATTCGTGAGCGGGAGTTCAAGATTTTCACCGATGCTGGACGTGTCTGCCGGCCGCTCTACGTCATCGACAATGACCCGAAGAGTGAAAACTGCGGCTCTTTGGTGCTCAACAAAGAACACATCCGCAAACTGGAACAAGATAAAGACCTGCCTCCAGACTTGGATCCAGAAGACCGCCGCGATCGTTACTTCGGTTGGGATGGCCTGGTGAAGTCTGGTGTAGTGGAGTACGTCGATGCTGAAGAAGAAGAGACCATCATGATTTCCATGACTCCGGAAGATCTCGAAATTTCCAAGCAACTCCAGGCTGGTTATGCTCTTCCGGATGAGGAACTACACGATCCCAACAAGCGTGTCCGCTCCATTCTCAGTCAAAAAGCGCACACTTGGACTCACTGCGAGATTCATCCCAGTATGATCCTTGGTGTTTGTGCCAGTATCATTCCCTTCCCAGATCACAACCAGTCTCCCCGTAACACCTATCAGTCTGCTATGGGTAAACAAGCCATGGGTGTCTTTTTGACTAACTTTGACCAACGTATGGAGACGATGGCCAACATCCTCTACTACCCTCAAAAGCCCCTGGCCACAACGCGGTCCATGGAATTCTTGCGATTCCGCGAGCTCCCCGCCGGCCAGAACGCTATCGTCGCTATCGCTGTCTACTCTGGTTATAACCAGGAAGATTCCGTTGTGATGAACCAGAGCAGTATCGATCGTGGTTTGTTCCGCAGTCTCTTCTACCGTACTTACACCGACAGCGAGAAAATGGTGGGACTACAGGTCATTGAACGCTTCGAGAAGCCGATGAGATCGGACACCCTCGGCATGCGGAAGGGAACCTATGATAAGCTTGACGAGGATGGCATCATCGCCCCGGGTGTTCGTGTCTCCGGCGAGGATATCATCATTGGTAAAACCGCACCTTTAGCTCCCGACGCGGAGGAGTTGGGCCAACGGACCAAGGCGCACACCAAAGCGGACGCTTCCACTCCCCTCAGAAGCACGGAGAATGGTATCGTGGACCAGGTTTTGGTATCTACGAGTAACGACGACCTAAAATTCGTCAAGGTGCGCATGAGGACAACCAAGGTTCCCCAAATTGGTGACAAGTTCGCCTCGCGTCACGGACAGAAGGGTACCATTGGTATCACTTATCGTCAAGAGGATATGCCATTCACCCGTGAGGGTGTGGCTCCCGACTTGATCATCAATCCTCACGCCATTCCTTCTCGTATGACAATTGCCCACTTGATTGAGTGTCAGCTTAGTAAGGTTTCTGCGCTACGTGGGTTTGAGGGTGACGCCACACCATTCACTGATGTCACAGTCGACTCAATCTCCCGTCTTCTTCGTGAACACGGTTACCAGTCTCGTGGATTTGAGGTGATGTACAACGGCCACACGGGGCGGAAGATGGTAGCCCAGGTCTTCTTGGGGCCGACCTACTACCAGCGTCTGCGCCACATGGTGGACGACAAGATCCATGCCCGTGCACGTGGGCCTACGCAGATCTTGACGAGACAGCCTGTGGAGGGTCGTGCCCGTGATGGTGGTCTTCGATTCGGAGAGATGGAGCGCGATTGTATGATTGCGCACGGAGCCAGTGCCTTCCTGAAAGAGCGGTTGTTCGATGTGTCGGACCCCTTCCGCGTGCATATCTGCGATGACTGTGGCTTAATGACCCCGGTTGCGTAAGTTTGACGATGCTTCCCTGATTAGTGGACTGTAGTGGATGGACCATGCTAACGGAGATGCTGCAGAAAACTCAAGAAAGGTCTATTCGAGTGCCGACTGTGCAACAACAAGCACCGTATTTCGCAGGTGCATATCCCATATGCAGCCAAGCTTCTGTTCCAAGAGCTGGCCTCGATGAACATTGCCGCTCGCATGTTTACCAACCGGTCTGGAGTGTCCGTGCGGTGAGAGAGAGAGAGAACAAGGAATACCATCCGTGTACATCAGTTGAATTTCTTTTTCTTTTCATTTTCCTCCTCTCTTTCCTCACCCCCGCCTCTCTATATCATGATAATTCCCTTTCTCGTCTTCCGGTGTTTTTCTTTTCTTTTTTTTTTCCCCCTTTGAATTTGCTTCCCATCCTTCTCTACCATCAAAATCTGCGATATCAACCGAAGACCCGACTGATTCGGCATTTTCCGGCGTACAAAGGATCTGAGGATTGTGATTTCTTTGCTTTTCTTATTTTTGTTTTTTCCTTTTCCTTTTTTTTTTTTTTTTTTTGGCCGATGATGATGAGTGAGCAGCGAAGGGGTTGGGATTACGATATACTTTGCTGTACTTGACTGAATAAATCCTGGCATTGGAGCCGAATCAATAATAATAAGCCGTGGTTGTGAAGGTGAAGAGGTGCAGGATGTGCCCATGCCATGCACGTCTGCATATTCCCCTCTTCGTCATGCAGTCCTCCCCACCCGGACTGTCCGTGATAATGGAGACAGGTGTAGTGATAGGTGAGGCATTGACCAGTGAGGGAGCAGACTTTGACCCTCTATGAGTCTATTCTGGGCTTCCCCTCCTCCGTCCAGCCTGGTGAACTTTAACCTCGATGATGGGTGACGATAGCGCAGCGAAGAGTGAAGAAGGAGAATGTCATAGGTTCAAGGTTGGAGAGGCAGGCAGTGGTTGCAGGTGGCTGGGCGGCAAGCAACGGCTTCTTAATGGCTGAAGGCTCGGAGACGGGCTGGAGAGAGCAGGCCAATCGAACCCTGGACTTACCCGCTGCTGGGGTGTGACAGTCCGTCACTGACCTGGCAGTTACTACCATTCCTAGTGAAGGTAATTGATTACCAGGCATCTTCCATGTGGATGTGGACGACTCCTCTCTCATAAAAGAGCCTTCTTACCCGCCGGGCCCTCGTCGGCCTTCCCTCCTTTTCCCTTCTTCTTTTTCTTTCTTCAGCAAGCTAGTCTTGTCTGTTCTGCCTGTGGTTTTCGAAGTATCCTGTGCACTGGTTGCACTTGCTTGTTTGTTGTTTCTTCATCCTCATCTTTATCTTCAATTCGTACCAACCCCATTTTATACTTCCCTTAATATCACGCACCTACCAGAACCAGAAAAAAACCCATAACCATAACCATCCTAGAGCTGTGCTTCTGGATGTTCCCTTGTTGTCTTGCTTCACTTCGCACAGGATACTTCTAAACTGTACAAACTTCCCACGGTTCAATACATTGTCGCCGGTCGACAAGAGTTTTTGTTCCCGATTTGCTTCCAGCTCAGACAAACTTGCTCGCCGTACACCTTAATCTTCTTTCTGCCTGTTTACGTGTCGAGGACTGGATCCCCGTCAAGCTTAACGCTTTGTTGTCTTGTACGGCCAACGAACCAACAGTTCCGCAATCCGCCGCAGCACGAGGCTGAATCGAATTGACTCTGGCAGTCACTTCGCCCCAACAACATTAGCACCGCCATCGTCGACACGATTATCTATTATATTCCTTTCTACCATAATCTAATCTTCTAGTATAATTCTGGTCCGATTCATTTGCACCCTATCGCCATAATGTCGTCCGTTCAGCTCAAGTTCTCTCTTCGGACTTCCTCCAATGTCAAGACCGTCCACCTGGTCGGTTCGTGGGACAACTACTCCCGCCAGATCCCTCTCTCGCGCGATGAGAACAAGTCTGGCTCGTGGGTGGGCAAGTTCCGCTTCCAGACTTCCATGCTTAAGTTGGGTGGTCGCTACTGGTACTACGTCAGTGGTCCTGCTTCCTTCTCTTCTAATGACACACCTTGCTGACTGACTGACTACAGTATATCATGGATGGCTATCACGTCTCCCATGATCCTGCTGTTGAATATACCGTGGAGCCCACCACTGGCCGCAAGCTCAACATCCTGGATGTTCCCGGCGGCAAGTCCTCCAGCTCTTCCTCGGCCCCTAGCAAGAGCCACCGTCGGACCTCGGCGGCCTCGGATGTGGTCAAGGGCCGGGCTCTCTCGCCATCCAAGATTCAGCACCCCAAGCCCTCCAAGCCCTACGCCTCTCGCCAGATCCGGGAGACTGACTTTGTCGGTGGCCCTCCCACTATGGACGATCTGACCCGGCGGTTTGCGGGATCCCGTCTATCGGACGAGTACTCCCTCTCCAACAGCCCGCCCAGCTCTGCGGGCAGCTCGCTGTCGTCCCGCTCCTCGGGCAGTACCTCTCCCTCATCGCTCAGTTCCATGAGTGATCCCCCGACCCCGATCTGCCGGTGTGAGCGCTATGGGATCACCCGCAAGGGAGACCGTGTCAAGCTAGACTGTGGAGGCAGTCGCTGCGGGTATGTCACCGAGTCCTCGGAGGCCAGTTGCTCCGAGTCGGAGGACAGTGATGAGGAGTACAGACGGGCACGGAGTGCCGTCAGAAGGCAGGGAATTGTTGTCCGAAGATAAACTCAATGTCTGTGAGGTGATGAAAGAAGAATGTCAATTCTCATCGATCAGCTCCTGCGCACTGTCAGGATCTGTTACTCTATCCCTGATGGTGTGCTCGCAGCGTGACGCGGAGCAGACCACTCATTTTGGTTTGGGACCGAACCGATTTATACTAAAATGAAGCGTATAACATGTTGCCCCTTTCTGGCAGAGAATGGGGCAATGTGGACCACAGATCTGGCACTCGGAGAGGTTCACAGAAAACAAATGAAAAAAAAAAAAAAAAAAAGAGAGAACATCAGGGGACAGTGCCAGACTGTGGGCTCTGCTACGGACGAGCCGGTCTCGCTTCGCAGTAGTAGAGGTGGTGGTTGTGAAGGACGTGAGGAGTGTTCTCGTCGAAGGGGGGTGAGAAGACAGTAGGCGGGGATTGAAGAAGGAGAAAGAGAGTTATGGCTGTGGTGAGAGTGGTGGTCAGGGGTGAGGAACAACGGAAATATCCGCTCTCTACTAGAACCGGCAGTATGGCCAGGCGGATGGAACGACAGGATGAGTGGTCCCGGCAAAGGCCTTTCCACCAATGTCCTGACAAGTCCTACATTGGTGCGCCGGGACATGAATGATGAAGTGATGATATGATGGTCTAACTTATCAATGCCTATTTTATGACTGCAATCGATGGTGTGGGTAAACATCTGTAGGAGATGTCGCTTAATATTTGAGATAAGTGGCAAACTAGAAGCACCAATCTGTACAGCAGTCAGGTGCTGGTGTTCTAAGGCTTCAACTAACAGCGCCAGAAAGTCAACAATGTACTGCACAGTACAGGACAGTAATGTGTAGTGACTTCATCAACGCGGCCAAGGGCCTTTCAGCCAGGAAGTAATTTTGTGATCAGTCTCGCCTGGCGAATCGCAACTCCAGTTTTTGGTGCCGGGTCTCTCTCATCTGGACGGTCAGCCCTACAGCGAGGTCCGAAAATTACCTCATCATGCATACCATAGCGAACCAGGACCCCTTTCTCATGACTAGACTGCTAGTTCCCTTGGTAGTAAAGAGTACGAAGCTTTTCTTTTAGTCATCATGAAGAAGCCTAGGTTCATCGATCCACAACAATAACAAGAATATTCAATAATGCTCACAGCAGGGGATGCGAGGAAACATTCCGATATTCCGAGATTGAATGGGTTGGATGGATCCATGAACCATGAACCATGAACCATGAAATCCAATTCCAGATGATTGTTGCCTGATACGGTGGCTGAACTGGAGCCGGAACAAACCAGGCCTACCAGGCCAATTGGCGGGCACGTGGTGGAGGAATTTGGTTCCAAGTTTCTATTCTTGAGTTCAGCCCTACGCCATGGTTTTTATCCACACTTCCACTTCCTCTTCCTCTTCCACTAGTACGACGATTCCATCAGCCGGGTCAACACTCGGGTTTTCCCACCAAAACCACGAGTTGATTTGATATCACGGTTCACAAAGCAATGGACATCGCTTATGGTCGGACTACCAAACCCGCTGGGTCCAATCCCCGGCGGGCTTGATCGAGAACGGGGCTGCTTGTCGTCCTGCATATCCTGCATATCCTGCAGCCTTACGGCCGGTCACCCCCCTTCCCCTCCTCCCCTCTTTTGCTCTTTCGCTCTTTCGCTCTTTCGCTCTTTCGGAGAACACCCGACCCATTGAAAAGGATGTTTTGGCTCTGGAGGAACAAGCCGTTCCCGTAAACCTGGTGGATATTGGATAGCAATGCTAGTCCGTGAGGTTCAGCCTGACCGGGAATTCTCTCCCCTCCCCACTGATCGACTGCTTTCAACTCTGCCCTATGAGGCTGGCCTACCTGGGGGGACCACCACTCTGCCCTCTTGGTTTCCGGCTGCATTCTATCATTCCGTCTTTCCTTTTCTCTTTCCCTTTCCCTTCCCTTTCCTTCCCACCTTTTCTCTTCTTGCTTTCTTGCCCACCCTTCCGCCCCTCCTGCTCGGTCATGCTACCGGCCCTCAGTGCTCTTTCCTCTGTGGCTTCACTAATTCTTGCTTAACCTCGACGGTTCTGTTTTTTGCTTGGACCCGTCTGTTCTTCATCTTTAATATTCCCCGTGATGGAAGAGATCAGCTCGAAGAGCTCTCAAGCAATTATCCATTAACAGCTGCGGTCTCGGTTTATGGACCCTTCACATTGGAGTCTACTGTTGTCCTCTGTTTGTTACTGAAAACAACTTAGAATGACAAATTGTGCTTGCCCGGCGGTGTCAACTTGTCTTGATCTTTGCATCCGGCTTATGATTGAGTCCTTTATGTGAACATGCTCCTGGGTCGCCTAAACAACCAAGATTCCCTCCTTCAACATACTGCAGACCACTGTTATCAATTGCATCCACCGCGGTCGGCTGTCGCGTCGTGCGGCTAGCTACCATTCCTTGATCGGTTAATCGTCTGCCTTCCTTTCATACCTGTCGCAGCGCACGCAGGACGTTAGATTCGCCATTTGGTTCGAGACAACCTACGTCTTTCAACTTATCACCGCCAACATAATACTCAACCACCATGTGCTACAAACTCGTGGAACGATTCGCAGCTTGTCGGTGTCTCTACTTCCAGCACGCGGTTGACCCGTGTGAAGCCTACGGTCAGCGCGGCCACTCTGTTCAGGAAAAGGTCGTCCTGGTCGGATACGCCTGCGCTCAACACTCAATCAAATTCAACAGCGGCATTGCAAGCGACCTGAGAACGCCTCGGGACTCGGGATATTCCAGTAGCAGGAGTTGAATCTTGCTGGGTATGATGGACATCCATAGGATGGCAAGTTCCACTCTTGGCTCAGCAGCTGCCCTCAAGGATTGTGTCCTTGATGCATCTCACCAACTATCAGGCTGCGATCCTCATCCCTTACTTTTTTACAGTTCGATTCGGTTAGGACTTGGCAGGCTCCTCCCAAACTTGTGTCTTTGGAAGATACTCTTCTTTTCTCGATACTTTGACATGCCGGAGTGGCTGCGCTCTCCGGTCGCCTCATCCACGTAATATCCTCGTTTATAAACTTCGTTTCCCGTCGATTCATTGGTTCTGTACACGCTCGTGCATGCAGTCGGTCTCGTATAGAATTAGCATAGCGACGCGGTTTGGGTTATGCTGCTGTGTTCCAGCTCGATGCAATGAACGAGGCGCATTGCAGCTAATGATTCTTGCATTGACTAAATGATGAGAATCTCTCTTGGAAGTGGAATACCACCACTTGGGGAGGAAGCGTATCAGGAATACGTTCGTAATGCCGGCTTTAATCGCTGGGTATTTTTCTTCTTGTACTATAACTCTTTTTGCTTGAACGTTCAGCTGGTACACTATATAAAGAGCGTACCAAGTACTTTTTTTTCAGTATTTCTTTGTTCCATATCTTTCTCGAGCAATAGATGAGTGGTTTGGGATGTAAATAATAGCACGCAGCTGCTGTGCCACCGTCACTCTCGAGTTGTTTACCTCTTAGTAAGCAGTTTTTTTTTTGTACCCGGAACATCTAAATTCCGTGTCTCTATCGATTGTCTCTCCGATGATCGATAAGCACGAAGCATCCCGTAACTTTCCAGCCGAATCCCTTGCGACCATCGATCTCCCATTGCGCTGGCCTCTCGATCAACCACTCCATCGCTGAACCACACATCACAGGGTTAGCATCACGAACCGCAAACTCCCAACCACAGTGAGCACACGGTGCTGAAGTTACAGCTTCCCACTGTGCTTCAGCATTGAGACCGTGAGCAGCCAGCGTGAAGGATGTCGCAATTACAAGAGGACCCCGCCACGGTGCTCGAACAGTTCGTGCATGATGTGGCCAACTTGCCCGCCGAAATCAATCACCTGATGGAGGAGATCCAAGCCAAAGACAAGACCATCCAAGAATGCCGGACGACCATCAACTCGCGCGACACCAGTCTCCAGAAATTCATCAAACTCAACGGCAGCCTGACGCCCAACCCGAAGGAGGAGCAGTACAGCAAGACCATTCTGCAGAATCTCGACAAATCGCAACTCCTGCAGGACGAGAAGATCCAACTCAGCGAGAAGGCCTGCGTCCTCCTGGACCGCCAGATCAAGCGCCTGGACATCGCGATCCACAAACTCCAAAGCAACGGCATGCTCTCGAACGATCCCCCGCTCCCTTCCCTCTTCCACAACAAAGACCAATACCGCGACCCCCCGCGCATCTTCTTCCCAGACGCCGCCGTTGACGCCGCCGGCGGTGCATCCTCCTCCCCAACCGCCCACGCCGCCAATGGCGGCGGCGGCGGCTCTGCCTCCGCCTCCGGCGGCGCGGCGAATCTCATCCTGGGCGCCACCCAACGCCTGAACCAGTCCCTCGGCCGCAACGCCACGACCGCCGCCGCGGCCGCCGCTCTGCTGAGCTCCCCGTCCGCCGCGCGCTCCTCCGCCCCCGCCACCCCGTCGGGCACCGTGCACTTCCAGCAACGGCACCAGCGCGAATCGTCCGCCGGCGCCGTCGAGAACAAGCGCCGCCGGCTGAACGCCTCCCTGGGCACCCTCCCCGCCGCCTCCTCCAACCTCCGTCAATCCTCGCTGGGTCCCGGCACGCCGAAAGGCGGGGGCACGCCCGCCTCCAGCCGCGCCGGCAGCGCCGGGCCCCGCAGCTCCGCCTCGACCACGAAGAAGGCCCTCACCAAGAAGGTCGCGCCGCACCAGCAGCTCAAGAAACTCAAGGCCGGCAGTGGCGGCGGCGGCGGCGGTGGCAGCGGCGGGTTGAATGGGAAGCACACCAAGCGATCCTCCAGCGCCAGCGGCCGCCTTAAACTCACCAAGAAATCCTCCCCTTCGTCATCAGCGGCTGCTGGACCTGGTGGTGGCGGCGGCGGCGGCGGTGAAGACGACGAGGATGATTCCCTGCTCAGCAGCGCCGACATGTCGGACTCGGAACATGCCGGGGTGGGCGGCGGCGGCGGCGGCGGCGCGGAGGACGATCTGGACGAGGAGGAGGAGGACGAGGGCAACGAGGATACCAAGGTGTATTGTACGTGTCGCAGCGTCAGCCATGGCGATATGGTGGCGTGCGACAACGAGGACTGCGAGTTCGAGTGGTTCCATTGGAAGTGTGTCGGGTTGACCCGCGAGCCCGTGGGCAAGTGGTATTGTCCGCAGTGTTCGGCGAAATTGGGGGCGTGATCTTAGTTTTTTTTTCCCCCTTTTTCTTTCTGGGGCGGGTGGGCTGCTCCCGGTGTCTGTCGTCTTTATACCCTTGTACTTTTTTTTTGATTATTTTGGAGTCAGGTTTAGCACCCCTTCATGCATGGAAGGGTTGATGACTTGAGTTTAGTGGGCCTAACACATGATCCCAATTGACCTAATATACCAACCAGGCTGTAATGTAAATGTATGTTATTCTTGACTACGGACCTTGATTAACCTGCTGTGCCTTCTGTATCCTTAGTATCATGGTTTAGAAAGGATTAGAAACCCAGGGATAAATGCCGTGAAGGCTTGAACCCCCCGTCCAGATATTCAGTGACTGGGCTTCACCTAAAGATACGAAGAGCGAGTGCAGTGCCTTGGGTACCAGAAACAGGTAGAGAGTATTTATTCTTGTTTCCATATCCCTTTCTTCGAGTTTATATTTGGAATATAGAAAACTTCTGCTGACGATCCGAATGCCCTGCTTGAGCTGAGCAAAGCAGAATAAGACCCGATCACGCATTGATATCAGACAGTCACGTGTGAAACACAACAAGAAAAATTATAACAACACAAAAAGACGCCATCGCTATGCAAACGCAAAACAAGATCAATCGCCCTGCGCAAAAGCTAGTTGGCCCCTTTCTTTATGGATGCGCGAAAGACTGGTATACATAAAAGTGGTTTAGTAAATGATGTGGAAGGGGGGGTGGGGGGAGGAAATAATCCAAGAACAGAAAAAGAAGAAACGGGGCGGTAATATGAGAAAAGAGAGGTGAGAGATATAGAAGTTGAAGAGACTAAAAATGGACACTCGGGGTAACCGATTAGAGACGCGAGGACAACCTTTTTTTTTGGTGTCTGCTTTTTACCTTTTCTCTCTCTTCTCTCAAAATCCAAGTGCTTTTTCTAACCAGGGATCGAAGTATTCGCAACTTTCCGGGCTTACGGCTCCGCCGGGCGCGCAGAGCTTGAAGACCGGACAATGACCGCACGGGGCTTCGGTCATACCGTTGCGGACGAGACGGTCGTCGATCCCGGAGTCCTCGCCGGGGGGCTTGCGCGCCTGCTGCGACTTGACCTGGGCGGGGGTCTTGACGGAGCGGTAGACCTCGCCGTTGTTGAGGGCGACCAGCTTGTTGTCGTAGCAGAGCATCTCCAGGAGCTGGGTGATGCTCTCCTCGCCGAGTCGCACGGGGGTGATGCCGCTGGCGTTGACAGCGGCCGTCAGCTCGGGGATGGTGGGGTAGCCCTGGTAGCCGGCAGGGAAGGGGATGTATTCCTTCTGCGGTTGGGGGTCGGTTTCGTAGGGGTTGCCGCCGCCGCCGCCGCCGCCGCCGCTGCTGCTGCTGACGACCCCGTTCCCGTCGGCGGTCTTGAGGCGCTTGTTGTTGCGATGATGGACGGCGGGCACCTCGTACCAGCTCTTCTGGCTGACCTTCCACTCGATGAACCCGGCCACGCTGTTGATGAAGTTCTCGTCCAGCACGCCGTCCGTGAACCAGGCCCCGCCCGTCACGTCCTCGCTGGGCGCCAACCCCGCCAGCATGTACATCTTCCGGCTAGGGAACTTGACATTGTGCACGCTCTTGATGTAGTTCTTCCCTTCCAGCGACTTGAGGCAGCGGTCCAGGATCGACTTGTGCAGGTTCGTGCGCGTGCCGATGGCGCGCACCCAGATGCCGGACCGTCCGGTCGAGTGGATGACATTGTAGACTAAACTTTCGTCGGGGCTGAGGTTCTGGAGTCTGTGGGCGGTTCGGTCATGTTAGTTGCGATTGTTTGGAACGAACTGCTTTCTCGGATGATTGCAATTCGGTTGCTAGGTGGGGGGCGGGGTGCTCATACTTCTCTGCATCCTCCCGGGAGATGATCTTCCACGCCAACCGATCATTCTTTCCCTGGAGCAGGCGGAACAGTTTCTGGTCGACGAGCGATTGAGTGCATTGAAGGAGTAGCGCGAGGTCATTCTTGGGGACGATCCCCAGTCCGAGGAGATCTTGCTGGTAGAAGAGATGGTCGGATGGGAAGTTTCTCAAGCAGGCATCGTAGAGTCGGGCGCAAAGCTCGCTCACTGAAGAGCCAGCTGAGGAAGCCATTGTTCGCGGCGGGTTCAATCGATATCAGAGGGGTGGGGGGGAAGGGGGGAGAAGGGTGCAGTTCGTGGTGGTGGGCGGCGCGGCGGGGAAAAGATGAGGGGAGATCTTGTCCGAAGGTCTCACACACTGTGTTGAAAGGAAACGATCACCGGAAAGGCTTATGGAAGGGCATGATCAGAAGCGCGCGCCGAATCTCTTGACTGGTTTGTGTCGAGTGGATGGGGAGAGGCTTAATCAAAGTCCCCAAACTGTGAAAGCGAGCTTTTAATAGTGACTGGACGAAATGAGCGCAAAAGAATCAAGAAGGGAATTTTTGGAGAAGCGTTCGATGACGGCGGGAAAAAGAAGATGTTTTTGGGCGGCCTTTCTTTCTCTTTCGGGCTTGGCCGCACATGCATGAAGGCCTGAGGCTTCAGGCCAGAATAAGTGACAGCTGCTTCTGCCTCATGGTGGCCTGAGGCTGTTCGGAAATTTCGAGAAGCTCCCGGCAGAGCTCAGGCCGTAGTTTAAACTGGCTCTGGCTCCCCCGGCGGCATTCCCTCCTCTCCCCCCAGAACCATCATCTCTCACTTCTTTCACCCTCACCTCTTTCTCATTCCCCCCCTCCCCCCCCCCACCTCAATCTACTGTCACCTGTCTCGCAACATGGCTGACGCTTTGAAAGCAGAGGGCAACAAGGCCTTCTCTGCAAAGGATTATCCTACTGCTATGTACGTATTTTTGGCCCCGTATTCTACCCCGCTTGAAAACGGAGCAATCAATTTGTCTAATATATCTGATCACTGACATCTGCACAGTGAGAAGTTCTCGCAGGCTATTGACGTTGAGCCTACTAACCACATCCTCTACTCCAACCGCTCCGCTGTATATTCCGCGCAACACGAATACCAGAAGGCTCTCGAGGATGCCAACAAGGCTACGGATCTGAAGGCAGACTGGTCCAAGGGCTGGATCCGCAAAGGTGCCGCTTATCGCGGTCTGGGCGATCTCTGTGAGTTAAACCCATAAGCGTGTCCGATGGCAACCTCGGTGCTGTGCCGCTGCTAACGGTCTCCATCCAGTGGCTGCCCACGACGCATATGAAGAGGCTCTGAAGCTGGAGCCCACCAACGATCAGGCTAAGAACGGCTTCAACGCTGTCAAGAGGGCCATCGACGCCGAAGCCCAGGCCGACGGTGTGACGGGTGACCCCATGGGAGGACTCGGTGGAATGTTCAACGACCCCCAGCTCTTCCAGAAGCTTGCTGGCAACCCCAAGACCGCTCCCCTGCTGGCCGATGCCGACTTCATGGCCAAGCTCAAGCGCCTGCAGCAGAACCCCAACGACATCGGTCAAGAGATCGGCGACCCCCGCTTCTTGCAGGTCATGAGTGTGCTGCTGGGTATCGATATGAACTTTGGCGCTCCCCCGGCGGAGGCCGCTGCTTCCTCTAGCGCTGCACAGGAGGCTGAGGAGGATGTGCCTATGCCCGATGCTCGTCCCGCTGCTCCCAAGAAGGAGCCCGAGCCCGCCCCGGAGCCCGAGGCCGAGGATGAGGAGGCCCTTGAGAAGAAGAAGGCCCAGGAAGCCGCTGATGCCGAGAAGAAGCTTGGTAACGATTTCTACAAAAAGAGAGAGTTTGATGGGGCTATTGAGCACTACAACAAGGCCTGGGAGCTGCACAAGGACATTACTTACCTGAACAACCTCGGTGCCGCCAAGTTCGAGAAGGGCGATCTTCAGGGTGCCATCGAGACCTGCCAGAAGGCTGTCGAGGAGGGTCGTGAGCTCAGAGCCGATTTCAAGGCCATTGCTAAGTAAGGATCCGCCGTGCGATTTGACATCCAACCGTGGCTAACGTCCGTGATTTGATTGTAGGGCCTTTGCACGTATCGGTACCGCATACGAGAAGCTTGGCGAGCTCGGCCAGGCCATCGAGTTCTACCACAAGGCGCTGACTGAGCACCGTACGCCCGATGTTCTCACGAAGCTGCGCAACGCCGAGAAGGCCAAGGCCAAGGCTGAGAAGGAGGCCTACGTCGACCCTGCCGAAGCCGAGGCAGCTCGCGAGCTCGGTCAGACCAAGTTCCAGGAGGGTGACTGGCCTGGCGCCGTGGATGCCTTCACCGAGATGACCAAGCGCGCCCCTGAGGACCCCCGCGGGTTCTCCAACCGCGCTGCGGCTCTCATCAAGCTGATGGCTTTCCCCCAGGCGGTGCAGGACTGTGACGAGGCTACCAAGCGGGATCCCAAGTTCATTCGGGCGTACATGCGCAAGGCGCAGGCTTTGGTGGCCATGAAGGAGTACAACAAGGCTCTGGATGTCTGCACGGAAGCTTCGGAGCACGACGACGGCACCCACGCCCGGGAGATCGAGCAGCAGCAGCAGAAGTGCTTGGATGCTCAGTTCAGCGCCCGTGCCGGCGAGACCGAGCAGCAGACGATGGAAAGAATCCAGAATGACCCTGAGGTGAGTTCTCTGTCCACCTGATATCTGTGGGATTCGTTCGCTAACTATGAAATCCATAGATCATGTCCATCCTGCAGGACCCTATCATGCAGACCATCCTCCAGCAAGCTAAGAGCGACCCCGCCGCCCTCCAGGAGCACATGAAGAACTCCCAGGTGCGGATGAAGATCCAGAAGTTGATGGCCGCCGGAGTCATCCGCATGGGTCGGTGAGCAAGCTAGTAGTGGACGGAGGCAGTGATGATGGGGACACGAATTGGGGAATTCTGTGATTGCGATTATTATCTAATCTGTTATGAAAAGCGTTCTCGATGGCGCCCTCTTGATGTATTTTTCTTCTCGTGGTTATTTTACGGCAGTGACGATGCATTTGATATCAGATCATTGAAATGACATGCTTGAGATGTTGAGTGGTTGATGTATCCTGTATATTCATTTCGTGCTCTGCTGGACGTTCACACCGTATCTTCCATCTGCATCAACTTTCCGCTCCTCGCAAGCTGCGACCGCTGGCTCGGTATACGAGGACTTGATTCGGACATTTAGAAACAGAGGTTCCACTCCACCGCTGCTATCAATCGAATCTTTTCCCTCTGCCCAAAGAAGATACTTGTGGATTGATAACCCTAGTCTGTGCCATGCCATGCACCTCTGTAGACTGTAAGCAGAGAGGGCAGTCAGACCGACCGACCGACCACACACCTATCTAGACCAGACCAGACCAGGCCCGACCATCCGTGCACACCAATACTATGTACGTTCTACGGAGTTAAGTTTTAACACTCAATTACACTCTCTCATTGCCGAACTTTGTTGTCCATTGAGTTTGAACTTTCCTTCTTGGATGTCCGTCCGAACCTCGGCTTATTCACGGGATTGGGGGGTTTTGTGTCATCGTCAGTTCTTTCTTTTTTTTTTTTTTTTTTCTGTCGCTTTTTTCTTTTTGTTTTGAGTCTTGCTCGAATTTTTCTGTCTTTACTTCAATTGGAAAAGAGAAACGGATTGATAGATTGATTCAGACCGGGTGCGGTGCGGTGCGTGCGATACAGTACAGGCAGGAATATCGGGTGGGATTGAGATGGACTCGAAAACCGTGGGTTGGACTGGAACATAGCGCTACACCAAGTACTCTCGGGGGCTTGAGGAGGGGAAGTTCAGGGCTGAAAACTGCAAGGCAAGGCCCGTCGTCAAGCTGATATCTTGGTGGCGAACTTCGGGCTGATGCGAGCGAGCGAACGGGCGAAGTGGAGTGGAGTCTCCCAGGTCGATCTCTTTTTTTTGGGGGGGGGGGGGGGGGGGGGGTTTGAAAAAAAACAGAATGTCATGAGTGACTACTGTACTGTACATAGTACTGTGAAAGTTACACGGCCTGTGTTATTGCATGATGGGGGTGGTTTTGAATGAAAGTCTGGTTGTGTGTAGGTTAGGCGGTGGTGTGATGGGTTGGTTTGGTTGTTGTTTTTGTTTTGTGTTGTGTGGTGTTATTTGAGAAAAGTACCTTATGCTTCGGTGTTGATCTATCCTATTGTACTGTGCAGTACAGCACATCTATTGAGGATCGGAAAGTAATAATGGGTCGGAGAGGGAGGGGCGGGCTGTGGCTGGTACGTACTCAGTAAACGGGAGGAGGAAAAGAGAAGGTTGGGAACGTGCTTTAGTGTTCTAATCGCGCTTTCTTAGGGTTTGATTTCCGAGGGAACTCCGTGCTGGGTGAGTCTTCATGCGACATGCGATCTTCATGCTGCGATTGTGGTTCAATCCGAGTCCCGGCTGGGAGATGACCGGAGGTGATTACTATGTACTGTACATGATACTGTCCAGCTCTCACAGAGGTAGCTACCAAGTCCAGTAAGTATAGCCATGACGTGGATTCGAAACTGAATGCGCCAGATCGGTACTTGCGTCTGGTCGGCTTCAAAGCTTATGTTCTCGCCGCCGTCATTGGGTGTTGAGACGGAAGATGGAGCCCTGCGATCGACTGCGACGGGGTTGATCAGATCTCCGCGCATTGCGTAGCGGTGGCCTGACGGTGTTTCACCTTGAGCAGGAGGGTGGAAGGAAGTACTGTGTGTAGGGTTGAAAGGGAATCGGGGTATTCTCGACAGCCATTTTCGCTAGATTATTGTTGCTTCTTCGTGGTTGTTGAGATACTAAGTTGATGGTCATGTTGTCGGAGATGAGAACCAGAAGTACTCCGTAGTTTTGTACTGACACGTGTGACCGGCAATCAGTGACGAGTAGGCATCCACATTATTCCGGCAATTTTGTGCCGCCAGACGCTAGACCTTGGCAGGCTTGGACTTTTTGGAGATGATATTTCTGAGTTTTCTTAAAACTTCAATGCAATGCAGGCGGTGTCACAGTAATCGGTGATGTTGGCAAGTGGTGAGAGTACTTGGTCACTTATCGGCCAGTATACTACCCAATTCGGTTAGGGCGACGTCTTAGGGCTCGTTGAGGGTACGCATCGGAATTCCTCGGTTATTCTTGCTAGTAACAAAATCGAATTAAATGGACTTGACTTGTTGGTTTCGATTGACCATTGTTGAGCCCACTTTGATGTGGAGGGTCCTTTGAAGGAAGGGGGGGGGAAAGGTCCCCTGAAATCCAATCAAGAATAAGGGGGGACAGCCCGAGAGGTTCGGAATTATGGACGTGGAAAAGATACGGAGCGGAGCTGCGAACTTGTGGCGGCGCCCGATCTGTGGCGGTGCTGCCTTTCCAATAGATCGGGACGCCGGCGTCAACTAGTCCTATTGCAGGCAGTATGTGAATGGGAAGGGCAAAGCGGATAAGTCCTTTGCGAGAAGAAGAAGAAGAAGAAGAAGAAGAAGAAGATCAATCAGATTATTATCAGGTACTCAGTCACTCAGAGAGATACTCATCAAAAACCCGTACCTCATGGAATGGTTCTTGCTCAGAGCTTCTTCGGCTGGAAGTTTGGTTGAATGTGGGGAGGCTGGAGTGGAAGAGGATCCTTCTTTTTTTTTTTTTTCTTTATTTTTATTATTTTCTCCCTTTCTGTTGATCGGCGCGCTTCCTTTTCCGGAGCTGGTGGGCTCCTCTTTGGCACTTGTCCTTTTTTATACCAGATCTGGTGGTTCAATTGAGATTGCGCGGATTTTGACCAGGAGGGAGAAGCTGAAAAAACTACATTCAAAGTCATTGACGCAGTGAAAGAAGAAGTACAAACGTATAGGAGTAGTCTGTGACAATAAATAGTCGGTTGGCTGTTAGCATACGAACAACAAAGCTGTAGAAATTCTGACGCAAGTGGCTCCGCTGTGAATTGAATCCGTTCGCGCTGGAAGCCTCCGGACTCCGTATCTTCCCTCGTCATCAACCAGCAACCAGCAATCGTCGGCCGCTTTTGTGTGCTGCCAGCCTGCCATTGTGAGGTTCCTCCGTATTCCTATTCCTATTCCTACTCCTACTAGTATTCCTATTTCATCATTCGATTTTCCCCTCTTTCCTTTAACTTCTTACAACCCCTCTCCAACTTCGGTTCTTTCATCCCATTTCTTAATTTAAGGTAAGCAAGCCTAATTTAATTCTCTCTCCCCTCCTTGTTCACTTTTCCAATATCCCTCCCCACCTTCCCCCTCTCCCCCTTCCTCAACTCCATCAACTCCTGATACGGATCCTGCTGGTTGTTCCTGAGAAATTTGGGTTGGGTTTGGGGTTTAGTGGACCTCCTACCAGCCTTCACCGAGGAGCTCCTCTCCCGCTGCTTCAGCCACCTCCCCGCCGCGGAGGCCAAGGCAACCACTCAAAGGACGAGCGCCAGCAAGTCGCTTCACTCCCATTGACAGGAGCTTCTTTCGCTCTGTCAATTCCCCCCCCCCCCCCCCGCTACATCGATTTCTCTTTTTTCCTCTCTGCATAATTTTTTTGACCACTATCTCCCCACCGTACGCTGCACCCGACAGATTTTCAATTGACTTATAAACTCAGATTGTGCCGCTTGGGGACTCAAGCTATAGGTGACCTTTCACCATCCCCCTCCCCGAGGTTTTCTCCTCATTCCCCCACCCTCCAAAAGCCATGGCGTCGCAAGACGTAGAAGGCAGCAAGAACGAATTGCGGCAACAAGGTGCCATTGAGGTGGCTCAGAATGCCGCACAAGATCCTCAGTCCGATATTCGCGCAGAGGATGTCGAGAAGACTCTAGTCGAAGAGACCCGGAAAGCCGGTGTTCCAGCCTACCAGTTCGACCCGGATGCGTCTCCCGAGGCCAAAGCCGCGGCCGCTAGAGCTGTAAGACCCCTTCGTTTCTCAATCGACAAGGTTTCCGGTAACTGACAGGTGTCTTCGTTTGCAGCGGCTGCCCCCCGGATTTCACCACGAACATAAACCAACAGGAGTCGCTGTTATCACGGATAAGGTGAGTTTGGTCATTTCCGCGGGATACGGTTATCGAGCAGTTGGCTTAACTCAATACGCTGCTTAGGACGACGGCACTCCCGACCAATACGATTTACCCCCTCCAAGATCCGCGACCGACATCCTGAAGGAAGATGAGAAAGATGCGACAGCGCAGACCAACGGAGAGGCTTCCTCGGAGGAAGACTTGCGATGGGCACGCGACCGGACGGGCTGGGCCCCACAGTTCGAACACCAGCCGACCCAAGAGGAGAAAGAAGAGGGAACCCTGCTAGATCACCAGACACTCTTGGAAGGAAAACTGGATGATAAATTCTTCGGAGGTAAGGACGGCAGCCGATCCTCCCGCGCGCACGGTTGGCGGAGCTAACGTTGGAGCTAGATTGGTATCATAATGCTGGTGTCATCGTCTTCGCCTGTCTCGCATCCTGGGTCGTTGCCGTGCTGGGCGGCGGACTGGCCTGGGTCTTTATTATCATGGCCGCTTGCAGTACCTACTACCGAACTTCCATTCGGCGTGTTCGCCGGAATTTCCGAGACGATGTGAATCGTGAAATGGCGAAGCAGCGGCTGGAAACAGACACCGAAAGTCTGGAATGGATCAACAGTTTCCTGGTCAAATTCTGGCCCATCTACGCTCCCGTTCTCTGCGATACGATCATCAACTCGGTGGATCAGGTTCTCAGCACTTCAACCCCCGCGATGCTCGATAGTCTTCGCTTGAAGACGTTCATCCTTGGTTCGAAGCCGCCACGACTGGAGCACGTCAAGACGTACCCCAAGACTGAAGTCGACACCGTCATCATGGACTGGAAATTCAGCTTCACACCCAACGACACTATGGATCTTACTGCTCGCCAGCTAAAGAACAAGATCAACCCGAAGGTCGTCCTGGAAGTCCGACTGGGCAAAGGCGTGGTCAGCAAGGGCCTGGATGTGA